AGCGGCTTAACGTCCTTGCAGGATGAAGTGCAGCCACCCCTGTTGTCCTGTAATTCTAGTTAGTTTTGTCTTTCTCCTCAAAGGTCTCAGGATGTTTACCGCGATACAGCAGTGGGAACCATCCGAGTACAAGCACTGGCAGTACGAGCCGGCCTGGGTGCCAACGGCCATGGTAAGAAGCAGCCCGATGACAGCTGAGAAGCGCATGTTGGCGGTAGGTTGAGAAAGTAAGGTAGATGATGATAGACTTGGTTCCAATGGATGTAGGAACTGTGGTTTAACTAATCACTGAGGAAGGGCTGTCAAGGTGTTTTATAGTGTTACGACTACGTGAAAGTATGACAATGTGCTCAGCCTCGGTGACACTTGTGTCAATATGTCGGTCCATAAACCCCACGACCCAAGTGTAGTAGTGCGGTAATCGCCATTGTTTCCTTGACACCCCGAGTGTTGAGCAAAATACGAGTGCGCTAGTAGAGGAAGCCATGCGATCAACAGTGTGCTTACCATATAGAGTCGGAGTATACCTCGTACAACATCTCCACGTGTTGGGTGAGTCTGTTTGATCTTGGCTGAGAGGAGAAGCTCACCTAAGACAAGAGGGCTATTCCAAGGGGTACTCACATGAGTGACCGGGATGTCGTCGAGATACTTACCGATGAGGCTTTGGATCACCACCATTGATCACGATGTGCGGTGTGTTCAACGCGATGAGGGAAGGATGCCGAGATTGGTACCTGGTTAAGCAGGGTTTGGAAGGTCCGAGAAAGGTACACCAAAGGTCCGAAAACAGCCCCATCGACCCCAATCCGGGTTCTCGGCCATTGTACAACACCAGTTCCGAAGTTGATCGTAGTGAGTGTAGTCAACAGCAACACGTTAAAGTCTCAGTGGTTCCGCGTCTCTGGTAAGGACATCAACCAAGTCATCGGTACCTCTTCCGCGACTCTAAATACACTATTTCAACTACCCCTCGTCTCTTCCCAGCTGTCATCATGGTCCGCATTACCTCCGTCGCTGCGTTCATCTTCGCTTTTGCCTTTGGTGTTCAAGCTTCTCATACCTGCCAATGCTTGTTCTCTGACCGTTCGCACTGCTGTGCCAGCACCGTAAGATACTCGAAGTCATTAAGGAACTAAGGATAAAGCTGACCGGAGCCTTGCTCCTTTACAGAGTGCTTATGGTGGCGAGGAGAGATGCGAAGATGTCTGCATGAATGCTAAGCGAAACAAGGACGGCGCTGCTTGCGCTGCTGGTGGTGCATGGTCTAGCGTCAGCGCCTGGAACGTTCAGTTCCGCGAGCCATGCGAGTAAGTATCCCTTACGCCAAGTGCAGTCCTATTGTTGACTCTTTGAAGGGTTGGTTCCACTAGTACCTCCTAGATGTAGAATATGGTATGTGCGCTGTGTATAGAAAGTAGAGCGGTGATGCATGTGGGTCGTTTCAGGAGTAGGGTAGGAACAAATTCCGCCACCATAGATAATATCCCATATCTTTCAATGTGCAATCATACTTTCTATAAAGTACCAACCCGATGATGGTTGCGATCGTGAAAAGTGACGCGCGAAAAGATGAGAGCTTTTACTTCTACGCTGGTCTAAAGGAGTTGGTCAGCACACGTGATGTCAGCCTCGGGCCGTTGATGCGCGTAATTGACCTACCGGTGCGCGCCAACACAGATCAGCAACGTGAGGATGCAATGTGTTCTGCTTACAAGGGAACCCTTGAGACGCCAGCTACATTAGGGACGTGGGTGCAGAAAAATGCATGTCTATCCAGATGGGTCTGGATAATGCAAGGAACGCAGCTCAACAAAGGGCGGTGGAGTGACGCCTAGAAATGTGGCGCGACATTCACGCTACTTGCAGACGATCCAGTCCCGTTTCGGTCCGAACTTTGGAGAGCTTAACGTGACGGCACGTCAACAGCAGTACTGTTGATAAGGTGATTGAGCTGAATACTTCGGATGCTCTGCTTCGTATAAAGATCCAATTCCTCAAATGGAGTCTCTGCACATCATCTAATCGAATCAACAATCTATCAGTCAGTTTAACATCAGCGAAAGCCACCCGATAGCGGAGTGCATCACCCGATAAGGAAAGACAACGAACCAAGCAGTCAGCAGCGAACAGCATACCGTTATAGGACGAGAAACATCTACACCAGTTGAATCACCAGAAGAATCACCAGAAGAATCAACTTACGTGAGTTATTCACTGCTAAGGGTCAACACTCAAAGACACATCAACTCGACGGAATTCCTCGAACACGGCCACAAATCAACCGCATTCGATTTACCCTCCGACAAGACTCGCAAAGTAGCGAAATCAAACGACATGGCGACAGCATATTACTTCGCAGCGCACTTCAACATGCCCGGAAACCATGCAATGAACGAGCCCTGGTTCCCTGCCACTACACTTTACAATGTGTCGCCGCTATCGCCTGTTCTGATCGGGCAAGCGGAAGCCCAGATCCAGCCTACTCTGTCAACACAACTCGCGACGACAACGACAAGAACAACAACAACAACAACAACAACAACAACAATGAGAAATAATGGAACAAACAACCAATCGACTTCCATCTTTTTCCGTCTTCCAGCGGAATTACGCAATCAAATCTACGAAGAGCTCCTCTGCCCCAACACACCACATCACAGAAATCTAGCCACGTATTCTACGCCATCGAAGCCACCAGCTGTTTACCCAGCTATCCTTCAAACATGTCGCAAGGTACATGAAGAAGCCCAAGATCTTCTTTACACAACACATGTCTTCCACGCCCACCGGTCCCTCTTAACCGCTCTGCCACATCTGATCTGCCCAGAGAAGCCAATCTTGTCTCAATCTGGCATCGCAAAGATCAATCGCTGGCAACTTGAACTACGTCTGGATATCGATCCCCGGTTCACTAGCAATCAAGCTACGGCCGCATTCTCCGGTGCTGAGTTTTTAGAAGTGAAGGTTTGGCAGAGCATGTTTGACGGGGCTGATAACTCGCACTTGAGGCTGTTCACTGGTGTGAGAGGAGTAGGGGTTGCGAAGGTTACCGGTTGTGATGATGAGGGGTTAGCGAGGTGGTTGGAGGCGAGGATGATGATGCCGATTGAGCAGGAAGTAACGAATGAAGGGGGCTGTTGTCAGTGTGGCAATAAGGTGGGTGGGGACATGACATGGTTTGGTGCGGCCAGAGATCCTTGGACCTTTGGAAACAGATAAGAACAAGGTGGAAAGTGTTGGGTCAAGAATAGACGGCGACACGGAACTGGTCATTTAGATGGAGTGATTTGTGTGGTAACTTCGTTATTGGTAGATATCCAAATATAGAGCACTTTGAATAGAGAATCGAACAATTACTTGCTCAGGTCATGAAGTTCCTACGGTTTTTGCACAGATGCCTGCTGTGATTGCTGTTCTTATTGATGGGTATCGAGGGGTTGGAGAATGTATAATGTACAAAGGAAATCTCGCGGAAGCCCACACTTTGATCCGGGATGTTACGTCTACGTCATCTACCGCAGCTCTTCTCTCTCATCCTCTCCGTCCTCTTCAATCCTGGCGCAGGGAAACGCGCACTCCATTGTTCTTTCCCTACTTCCCCTTCCACTCTCGACCCACATGCCTGAGTTGCACCAGGCGTCAGGCCTCAGTCTCTTACTTCCGCCCTCTGTCGCCCAGCTCACGCCATCAGACTCGAAGATCAGCGCATCATCCCCATCAGTACCGTGAATGGTCAGGCTAGTGTCATCCAACAATCCCGCAATGGTGAGTACTTGCTTCGCAGAGATTTTTGTGTACGAGTTGCGCTCAGCCCGTGGTCTTGAAGAGGCGACGTCGATGGTAAGCCCATTGGTATGATCCTCCAAACTGTCGATTTGGATGTAGTTGATCTTGCCCTTGCTTGCCGATTTTGGTTTAGCAGCGGTGATGAGTTGCTTGTGAAAGAGAGTGAAGGTGCATTTATCGGCTAGAGATGTAGCGGATGTCGATAACAATGACTGTGCGTCATCGCGGGGGAGGATGCGTGGAGGTTGGGGAGGTACAACGCGGGCTGCGCATGGCGACAATGCGAGGAAGAGGACCGATGAGAGGATGGCAAAAGTATTGGTGTGCATTGTGAAGACCTGCTTGCGAAAGCTTTGTGTTGTTGTGTATTGGGTTTGTAGTTGTAGAAGCAGAGTTGATGACACAGTCAGTCAAGAGATAGATGACACACGGATAGCCGGATCCAAGGCCAGCTGTGTGATTCAAGTAAGGTGCACAGAAGGTGAATGTGAATGGAGATAGTGGTAGCGCTGAACAAAGGTACCTTTGTACCTCACTGCAGGCTGTGGAGAGGTATTGTTTCAGAACAACTACGGCGGTCTACCCGCCCTTCACCCTGTCTATCGCGTTCATCACTGCTATTCTTGCTCGGCAGGCCCCGCTTGAGTACCTGATGGGGTCATGCGGCGGCTGGGTGCAAGGCTGATGCGGGGTTGCGGCGCAGACGCGTCGGATAGAGTGCTTCAGCGGGAGCCGGGCGGCAAGCATCCACACTGTGCAATGAGATGGATTCTTGAGCCGCAAGGAATGCGAAGACGTCCAAAACTAGATATGTGCGGGCGGCGCGGGTTTCTTTGTGCTGGGCAAACTTACGTGAGGTCGGCTCGGTACAGTATGGGTTGATGCGAGGGAAATTAGGAGCGACGCGATGAGGTCACGATCGTCAGGGAAGGCAGAAGACGTTCAATCTGTGCGCATATCCAGGAAGCTTGACAGCGAAAAAAGATGACTGTTTGTGCTGTTGCATGTGTCATGGCTGCGCGTTGTCTTCACAACGGTGTCAGCGTAAGGGTCCATGAAGTTGGGCCGGACGTGCGCAGGGGCAGGAAAGGGCAATTTCGGGATGCCGATTCGGTAGGCGTGGGGCCGAGCGTCCTGAACTCTGACGTTGAGCACACAACAAGGTGCAATTCGTCATCCCGCCTACTTCACGATCAAACACGGCCGTTGCAATGTCGCGCCCTTGCCAGCAACGGCGCTCGAGTGCCGCTGCGAATCGCAAATCCAGGGGCTCCAAGCCAACAGGACCTCCCCCCATCAGACACAAAGCGCGACAAAAGGCGATACACAATGCTCGACACGGGCGCGGCGGAGGACGTGGCGGAGCGCGCGGCGGAGCGCGAGGTCGAGGCCGTGGCGGACAAGCAGGCGGTCGTGGCGGTCGTTTTTCACAGAAGAGTGGTAGGAACGACTCGGAACAAGATTTCATCCCTCTGTCCTCTGGTGGGAATAATTTCGAGGCGCTGTACCGGTCCAGCAGGCGGGACGACAATTTCGATCTGGAAGTGGATGGCGACAGCAGCGACTCGGACGAGCTCCTTGACGAGGATATGTACGACGCCCAAGACATCGCCATCAATGTACAGGCGCCACCGCCTACGACGAGTAGAGGGAGACAACCAAGAGCACAAATCATGTTTACCGAGGCAGCCGCCGTTGCCGTATACGATCAGATCTATCTGCGCAACTTCCCACTGACTACGACGACGACCCGAGTGCGCTACCTCCTCTACCAGGAAGACACTTCTGCCGATTCGAGCGCATACATCTCCTTCGCGCCCTCCCCACTGTCCCGTCGATCGAGCATTAGCAGCGCCACCAGCGACGGTTCTATGAACGAACCACCAACACCCGAGTACAACCCTGCACGCGACTACGTGTGGACATTTGGAGCGCACAGCGGCAAGCGCTTCACGGATGTTCCTGACAACTACGTCAAGACGATTGGCGGTCAGCTCTACAAGTACATGGACAAGCACGCGGGTCTCCTGGAAGCATTCGAATACCACAGGCCGGGACAAGCACGTCTTAAGCCACCACAGGCCGACCAGCCGCAGATCCAACCCCAACGGACCCAGGCGCAATCATCGCGGCCACAGCCACAGCCACAGTCACAGCCATCTCAATCACAAGCTCCTTCGGCGTCAGACACGTGGAGATTCAAAAAAGGCATTCACGAAGGAAAGCGGCTCCACGATGTCCCAGAAAATTACATCAGAACGCTGGAGAATAACCCGCTGGTTAGAAATGCTTGGCCTGGATTCAAGCAAGCAATCGAGGATTTCAATGCAAAAACTGGCAGACGGGGCCGGGTCTGATTGCACAATAGCTGCACAATAGCTACGACCTGGACGCACCTTCTACGAGCGTTTGTTGATGCGGCGGTCCAAGCGGCAATTTTGGGACTCACCTTACTCACCTTTGCGGCCAACAACCTGCAACACCTCTTTGTCCACATAACCAGATTCGTCTGACTGCGACTGTCTTGTACCACACTCTCCAATATCTGTGCTCGCGAATGCTCACAGCTATATCACATCTCACCCCGTCATGGCGAGTCACGGAAAACGCGTGCAACCAGATTTAGAAGCATCTCAGTCCAAATCGCGACGCCATACCAAGCGAACGAGGGCAGCGCGATCCAAGACTGCGGGATTGCAAGAACCAGCGGACAACACAACTGCGCAGATCGACGTGCGATACATGGGGACCCAGCCAAAGATCCGGCAACCTACCGAGACCTTGCAAGCCAAGTCCTTTCCAGGCCAGATATCCCAATTCATTAATCTGACACTGAGTGATGAGGTGGAAGAGGGTTTCCCTACGTTTTTATCGAGATCTAAAGCTCTTCAACATCAAGCCGAGGAGCAGAGCCACTCAAGGTACGCTCTGCGTAGCAAGACGCTCGGAAACACTCGTGAACGCTTTCTAAATCCTCCCCATATGGCATCTGCACGGCCATTGGCTCACACGATGGCAACGCTGGAGCAGGAGCAATCAGAGCATCCCAAATCGGCAGGACAGCGCTTTCCAGAGAAAACCATAGATCAGAACGAAAGCGAAGAAAGATGGACCTTGCCACAAAAGCCACTGGTACTTACACACCGCTTTAGTAAGCGCCCGCAAAAGTGGGAACAATCCGAACAACGGGTTTGGAACGCAGAAAGAGAAGCGATGAGAGAGGAGAGGATAACGGCAAGGTCAGCCAATGACACTTGGGAGCCATCGACTTCTACAGATATTATGTTCACGATCCCAGAGGCAATAACCGCACTTGTCCGGCCCCAGCTTGCAGATAGCATCGCCTACAACCTGCCAACTGGCGCATACATTTCGTATCCCGTCAAGCAGTCGTACCACCTGGGGGCCATGGGCCGGTATACCTGTCGCTCTGCATACTAGCCTTTTCTATTGCCATTCTGGTGATGCTAAGCGCAACTCTCGTTTTAACGAACCCAAGTCAAACTATGCCAAGGCCCATATCCGTCTTACTTGGTTTCAGGCCGAGCATGCGCGTCGATTGGGTGCGATGAGGAGGACATGTAACTTTCGCCCATTTGCCGTTCAAGAAACGGTCTTGAGTCTGACGTCTGCATGCCTGAGGATGGCAGTATGATGGATGGATAGGGATTTGAACATGAACATGATTTCTGGTTCGGAGTCGGATACTGTACTGTAGTCTCGCGGGCTGCTACCACGGCTTTGGCATATATGCAAAACGGTCTCCCATCATGCTTTTTGATGATGAGCAAGGCCAAGCTTCAGAAATTCAACTCAAATCATACACTTCAAACGAATGCGCACGTTTTAGCTATCTCAAAAATCAGTGATCACTCGGATATGTCTCATCTAGAAGACAAGTCAAAACGAAAAGCTTGACATGTATGACGTGCGGGAGTGCTCTAGTTCTGAAGATGGCGTAGCAGCAAACAGTATGTAAAGCCTCATCATCTGGTGTTGTTTCCCTTTGTGACAACACATCCTGTTCCAGAACTGCAAAATCTTGAGCTTGCCCTCGGATGCACATCCCTTCCTCTGAAGAAGCTCGGTCAGCCGTTGCAATATCTGCTGCGACCGAATATTATCTTTGATCTTGGATGCCTCGATATACTTCTCTTGTGTTACAAATTCAGAGGTGATGTACACATGTAGTGCTCCGATACCTGAGTAAACTACTACATGGCATTGTTGTGACACAAAGAAATTACATCAGATCAGCGTACCAAAATGAAACTATGGTTCACCAATATCCCACAAGAAAGCTTATTCTGAACAAGCATGCAATCGATGTCGGCACCGAGTATAATATACCCACAATTTCGAGTTGATGTTCGTAGCAGCTGTCAGCACTAGCCCCCTCGATATCGCAAGCGCACGGTTCTCCACCCGACTTCGACCAACCAAACGAGCGCAATCAAGAGACCACCCCACAAAGCTCGCCTGTAGCCTTGACGCCCTCGATATGGGACGAGGCCTTATATTCTATTTCTAAGCACTTTGAAATGCTACTCTGTGTTTTGTAAATAATGCTTGGAAATGCTGCTTTACAATGCTTTTCAATGCTTCGAAGCTGAAGAAGTGGCGTACGAGATGTGACTATGCTGGATTTGGTGTTGAACGATAGCAGACCGGAGTAGGGAGGGTAAAGTATCGAGGTATATAAGACGGGATGCAGGTGATGTGTTAATCATCAGCCAGTTGTGAAGACAGCAAAGACTAGAACGACTACAACCCTTTCAGATCTTTTCTTGCAAAGCTTGTTCAATTTGAATCGCATCTGCCAACGCATATTATTGACATGGATCCTAACGCCTTTACCGCACCTTTTCAGGCCACCAAGACGCTTCGCCGTGACATCTATCCGACGATCGACCCCAAGAACCCCGAGTTGAGTGCCAAAGGCAAGACCATTCTTATTACAGGTGCTACAGGTGGACTGGGTGGTGTATGTCAAAACCATAAAGCATTATTCCATATGCTCGCTAAGGTATGCTCTAGGAAGTTGCGCGAGCCTGGGCAATTGCCGGCGCAGAGGGCATCGTGCTCACAGGTCGCAATCAAGAGGGCCTCAAGGAACCGGCAGAGGCCATTGCATCGCTCAGCCCTTCTACCCGGGTGCTCTGCCTATCCGCCGACTTGACCAACGAGGCTGATGTCGAAGCGATGTTCACCAACGCTGTAAGCCAATTTGGTACCGTGGATGTGGTACTACACGCCGCTGGGAGCATAGGCGGGGGACCGGTGGGCGACTTGCCTCCCAATGCTTGGTTCAGCGACTACGAGGTCAACGTCAAAGGCTCTTACGTCCTTGCGCACTACTATCTCAAGGCTGTAGCGGCTGGTACCCTTATCTTTGTTGGTACGCTGGGTGCATCGTTCACGTTTGCTGGTATGAGCTCGTACTCTGGAAGTAAGATGGCGTTGCTCAAGCTGGCTGAGTATCTGGATGCTGGTAGGATTCAATCGATCTGGAAATCATATCGTCACTGACTCTCTAATAGAGAAACCAAATCTCCGCATCTTTACTGTTCATCCAGGAATCGTCGCCGCGACAGAGACGCAGCGTGGTATGATCGTTGATTCGCTCACGCCCTTCGCGCTTGACAAGGGCATTCAGACAGGTGGATTGTCCTTGTATCTTGCCCAGCCTAAGGCAGATTACTTGAAGGGCTCTTTCGTCAGTGTGAACTGGGATCTTGACGAACTGGAGAAACACAAGTCGGAGATCACCGAGCAGAAGCTCCTAAAGCTTGCTTTCCTTGGTGCTAAGCTGGGAATCGAAGGCCATCCGTGGTCCAACTGACTAGAACGTATCTTATGAGGGAGGTGTGCGTTGGCTCCTGGGTAATTAGCGCAACCTGCTACGAGTAGAGAGCGAACAAATCAAGGCGCTATCCACCCAACCCTCGCCATTGGCCAGCTTATGTATGCTTTATGTTCGATAGGTAGCGCTTCGTAGATGCCACTCATAACATGATGTGTCCACCCTTTCATATACCAGAATTTCTCCAAGTCGTGCATGAGGACAACAAAGTGAGCGTATATGATGAGCGGCAGCGGGTCGCATCGTTGAAGTCGGTCGAGAAAGTCCTCGCTCATGCGATAGAGCCACCCAAAAGCGACATGATATTCCCCATCTTTGCCACCGTAACGATTGGAGTACATCTCCTGCAAGACCTCAACGCTATTCACGTTGTCATCACGGTCAGCGGGCTCGGAGACGAACTCAATATGCTCTTTCAGCTCCATTAACTGCTTTTCGTACTCGAATGGCCCGTCCGATGGTGGTAGAAGTCGACCTTTGCCACGAGTATTTGGCCCATGCGTCTTAGAGAAATGGTCTCTCGAGAGCGAAGCCAATGTTGTACGAATTCCACGAAACATGACCAGCCAGTCCGATCTTCCATGCTTGCCAAAAGCAAGGTACTCACCAGCCTGCGGTCCTCTTGCCCAGCTGACAAAGCAGATCATCTGAACAGATTGAAGGACCGCGTCACAGTTATCAGGACTGAGGCTGGCTATCTCTGGAGTAACAAGTGCGAGGGCGCGCTCGTAGTGGTAATCTGCAGTGGTGGTGTAGTGTTCTTTGCGTTTTGGGCGACAAACGGCGAGATGAAGAGCCGTAAACGCAAATATGAGGTGTAATACGTGCTGGTTCTTCATCGCGACTTCTTCGGTTAAAGCTTGTACACGAGCCACACCAGCAGGCCATGCTGAGAATGAGTGACATGTCGTCGTTGCCCAGTGGTATGTGAGTTCAATTTCAGATATCGGAAGGTCACCCGGCTCTCTTGGATCCACAAGTCCTGATGCGGCAGCGGAGGTCGCGGGATTGGCGGGATATTCGCAGCGAACTTGCCTTCGTTTACAGTTGGCACAAGATGGCTTGCCCTCGTCGCACTAAGCATGTTGTTAGCACGTTGAGCATGACGTCCGACTTTACCCCACGTCCAATACATGTTCGACATGTTGTATACATGCTCTGGGATCTGTCTCGCTTCTCGAGAAGAGTGTCGCGAATGATTGCGGCCAACACATAATATACGTACCTTGATGCGACGTGACTTGCAATTTACGCATCCAGCCCGTGACTTGCGATGAGACTTCCTTGTTATCTTCGATCGTCTTGACGTGCCCCTTGCACTGTGGTCAGACGGAGAAGGCTCGCGTGAGGTCAAAAGGGACGCTCCCCTCGAGTCCGATGTGGCCTCCGTGAGTGGCGAGTCTTCCTGCATGTTTATGGTGCCGTCGCGTCGAAGATGTTGAGGCATCGGAAGGCGTATTCTGAGCGAGGAACGCGTATCTTAAGAGAGACAACGGCTCCAGAGAGGCTTCGGCTAGCGGCCTACATCATCGCTTCTAGCGTCCTTCTATATTGCGTCCCTGGCCGCAGCATCGCAAACATCTCCAGGAAAGACCTCTCCGAACACTAACTTGGCCGAGCCCGCTCGACTCTCTTTCCCTTTTCAAACATCCTGTGCGCTTGTAGCTTCGCAACGAGTGTTCAGGTCGCGCGTCGATCGCCCCTCATGCGACGCGAATAGGCCCGGGCTCTTCTCTCCGATCGTTTTGCCAAGCCGCTAAAGCCGCTAGTACTCGCATTGCTCGTGTTCTCTTCGAATACGCAGTTTCTAGGTATAGAAGTGTGGTGCACTCCTATCATGCTCCACTTAGCAGGGCTAAATCTGCAGAGAATGACATGCTGTGCTCCTATTTATGAATTGCGCCGAATCTTGCCTAGGGACGCGTCGGCGGTTTGAGAGCACATATAACCATACCATGGCCCGCTGCTCTGATCCACACAACCTAACCCATTCACACCACTCTCCTTGCGACCTCAATCCCTAAGCCCCCAAACCCATTCGGACGCAACACAAACCATGGGTCGACCAGAAGATATCGAAGCCGTGTACAACAAACCATCTTCATCAGTTTCATCTTCATCACCACCCTCGATACAGTCAATACCATCTGTGCCACCACCGCCCTACTTCAAGTCACACTTCATCTCTCCATCGTCTTTCAAGTCGGCCGTAAACAAAAAGCTCGACAAGCCTGCCGTTTCTCTCTTCCGTCTCAGCATCCGCATTTTCCAATTCGTATTCGCCCTTGCCTCAGGCATATCCTATGCCATCGAACTTCGCCACACAACAAGCGATGCGAGCTCAGACTTCATATACGCACAAGTTGTGTTTGGTCTTACCCTCATAGTCTTGGTCATAGACAGCATAACAGCACGGAACTACCGTATGACCTGGGTGCCGGAGTGGATCTTGGCCATTCTATGGATTGCTTGTTTCGGCCGTTTCTACACAATTTATCTGCGTAGCGATATTGAGCAAGGATACGAGAATGTGGATGTAGGACGCATGAAGAGAGCTGTGTGGTGTGACCTCATCAACGCATTACTGTGGATGGGAAGTGCCTTGTTCTCTTCATTCATGTGCTACGCTGGAATCAAAGCTGCCATCAAGGCAAAGTTGGAAAAACGGAGGCAAAGGAAGGAGGGGAAGAAGGCGGTTAAAGAGATGGGTCAGATGGAACAGGGCATTGTCGGACGGTGACGTTGAGTAATAAGTCGGAGGCAATGTAAAGAGAGAACATATAACGTTCATTACTAGTAGCGAAGGACATGCGTACTTTGGGTATCGCAAATCAACCCACTACCACTCTCACTCCCCAAACAGGACGCACTAATTATTTAGACACAAGTGATCAAAACATCTAAGAGGATGAGCGAACTTGTTCAACGTGGACGTTGTCATCCTTCTCGTAACCAGAAGTCATGACGTTCTTCTCAACCACCTCAATGTCGACGTGAGCAACCTCAGCGTCATCACCATCGAAGATCTTGGCGACCTCTTCAAGAGTGGGACCACGGGTCTCGACGTAGAAGACAGTGACGAAGACGAGTTCGAGGAAGATCCAGCACTAGTTGTTGTTAGTAAATGATATTTAGAAGACCAGTCGGTGCAAAACTTACAGCGTAGATAGTGTAGAGCTTCCAGGTGGGGTGAAGATGGTCGAATCCCAAGGGGTTGACGTATTGGTTGATAGTCAGAGCAACTTGGATGAACAAGTTCATAATCATCAGACCCTTCGCACGGATCTTGAAGGGCAAGATCTCAACTGTGTAGGCGACAAGCAGACCAGACCAAGCCAACGCGTAAGCAACAGAGAAGATCCAGATCATGGCAATGACAGCCTGACCAGCGGCCTTGCTCTTAGTAGCCTCTTGCTGCGACGAAGCAATCGTCCAGACGATGAAGGTGACGCACATGGCTGCGGTAGCGGAGATGAAGAGCGGGCGACGACCAACGCGATCAACGAGTAGAGCACAAGAGACTGAGACGATGAGGGAGAGGATAGTAAGTCCACCATTGATGCCGAGCTGGGTGTCAGGGTCTGTGATACCAATGGAGTTGTAAACATCGGTAGCGTAGTAGGAGACAAGACCGTTGCCGGACCACTGAGAGAAGAGACCAAGCGATGCGAGAAGCATAAGTCTGTACCGGTTACCCTTGGTCTTGAAGAAATCAAGATAGCTGGAAGTTTTCTGGTACTGGAACTCGAGGCGGAGGGTTTCTTTGATCTCGGCGTATTCGAACTGAACTGTAGCGTTGTTGACATCACCGTTTGCGTGGTACTTGGCAAGGATTGCAAGGGCCTCCTCATTCCTCTCCTTGGCGATCAACCAACGCGGAGACTCGGGGATGAACCAGATGGCGGCCAGCTGAATGACGGAAGGTGCAGCCTGAGTAAGAGCGGGAACGCGCCAGCACCAGTCACTTTCGATGCGCTTGGTACCAAAAGTCAACCAGGTGCAAACGATGGCACCAACGTTCCACAAGCAATTGTAGACCGCAGTGACACGAGCACGATGCTGAGGGTGGCAAAGTTCGGTGAGAAGTAGAGGAGAAGACAGCTGAGCCAATGAGTTTCCAAAACCCATGAGGAAACGTCCACCCATGAAGTAGTCGAGGTCCTTAGCAGCGGCCTGAATGCAAGCTGCAACGATCATGATAACACATCCGAAAGTAATGCATGCTCGACGTCCGAAACGATCGGCAACAAAGGGAGCGACAGGAAGCGAAGCGATCGAACCGATAGAATAAAGAGCAGTCAAGAGACCAAGAGTGTCTCCCTTCGGATCGTTGAAGTAGTCGGTCCATCGGGGTAGGATACGCAGGTTGTTCAACATGGAACTGAAAAAAGAATTAGCATTCAATTATAGGAGGGTTGTTGCTAGATAGGCTTACCCATCGTAACCGGTAGTCGCAGAAGCGATACAGATGAAGAAGGCGTAGAAGTAGAGCTTGCGGAGACCAGCATCGGACTTCCAGTTGACCTGCTTCAGATGAGGTGCCTCAGCCTGCGCGGCTTCGACATCGGCCCTGCTCTTCGCAACGGCACCCATCTTGGGTGTGAACTTCTGGTAGAGACCCATGATATCCAACTCTTAGTCCGGAGACTGCTTGTAGAATCGAAACAACGAAGGAGTGTGTGTAGGTTGGTCTTGAAACGCACAACCGTACACTGTCCTGAGCAGCAGGGTATATATGCTCTTGAATTGTCGGGTTGGGCTGATTGCAGCTGAGCCTGGATAGATTGAATATGTTGGTGCTTCATATGTATGCCTCCCAGCCTGCGAGGTACTATGCTCGCATTGGCTCTTGGCTCTAGAGCTGCGTTCTAGCGGACCGGTTAAATGCGTCTAGGGAATTGTGTGGCCCTCTACGCGGATGAACCGCTGTATGGGGTAGAGTGGGCGGCAGATGGCCCAAAACGGTGGGGTCAAGGGTAGCATGCCCAGACCACAAGCTTCGTCTTTACCATGAACGGGTCGCCTTACTACCAGTGTCAAGTCGGCCTCGGCGTGCGGGACGGCCAGCCGTCAAGAACAACAAGAAGTCTAAGCATTGAGGCTCTCTCAGCAACAGCCATCTCGTAATGAGAATGTTGGTTCTGGCTGAATCAGCCCCGGAGACATACATTCGGTGCCACAAGGCCCGTCAGCCCGGTATGCATCCTGAGGCTCGAGGACAAGCCTTCCAAGCTGGCTATCTTCAGGCTCGGTCATACAACCTTCTCGAAGGTTGTGATCAGCTGCAAAAGCGTCGCATGCTACGGTAGAATAGATTAACCAGCCTCTAAAGCTCACGACTCCAGAGACCGAGAACGTGGGTCTGACCAGCGCTTTTTCAGGGTCTCCCATGAAGGTTGGGGCTAGTCTGGGGAATATGCCAGAGCACGCGGTGCCGAGATGATGAGGCGTGGTTGGCGGAAACAAGGAGCTGCTCTTCCCCAGCTTGCTAACTCGGTGCCACCCGAACACGTGAACGCAGACAAGCATGGGCTAGCGCCTAACGGTAAAGAGCTTCATCGATCATGCAAACTAACCCATTATTTTGCTTTATTCCCACCGCGGAAAACTCCACATCTGCAACGCAATATCCCGCTTTTCTTGTTGCGCCATCAGCGCCCTGAGCCGTTCCCCAGATGTTTCCCCAGAGAATCTCCCCCAGAGATCAACAACAACTCAAGCGTCTCGAGGAGACTTCACACAACATGTCGCAAATGCTTCACCATATCCATCCACCTCATCCTACTCTCGTATTGCTTGTTAGTATATGCTGCAGCAGGGTGATCTTTGGTTAGCGTCCTGTCGATGTGATTCGGCTACCGTACAAACGGGCGGTCTCGCTGACGCCTGGTCGATGTCTGCAAGCCTCCAACGGGTGGCTGGTTCTTTTCCCCATGCTAATTTCTCGACTACCACGCTCCAGTTCTCGATCAGCGGAATATGTATAGGCGGATGAGATCTAAGCATCCCGTCGCCCTTTTTGCACTGGCTAAATCGTAACAATCAGTTGGGTGCAATGCTCACCGCTCAACATAGCGCTGAATGCCATGGATTCCTACGCTGGATGCTCTGGCCGCTGTGCCCTCCCTTTTGGATCCTGCAGGAAGCCTGCATACGCGGGTGATGCGGCAATTGCTTCCCCAATGCTTGTTCGCAATCCCGAACAGGCATGCAGCAGGCCTGGCTCCTCCTGCATGCCGTGTCCGCCCACACCCAAGCAATCTTTGCCTGCGTTGGCAGCCTGTCCTATCGAAAAGTCGATTCTGAGTGCTTCCAAAGCAAGCCACGTCCAACACACCCTCAAGATTTGTGGGTCGTGTACATTGAGGACGCCTGATAGTCGCGCAGCTGCATCGCTTCGTCTTGCGGATTGACCAGCATCGCGAGATGGGCAGGGTACTTTGGCTTGACTGACCCAAACAAAACAGCGTAGAGTTAGCCCGAGTATCCACAGCAACCACCAACACTGACCTTTACGGTCTCGCATCCAGCCTGATGGGTCACCAGAGCTTGGAAGCTCCGTCTATAGTAGTCATGACAAGGTCTTGTACGGATGCTAATTTAGTGTATGCCGACTCCGATCAGTCGCAGCCACACGTTGGGATCCCACGCTCGGACCGTCATGATTATCGGCATGTCCAGCCGTTTCTTCTCTCATGGGGAAAAAGTCAGTGGATGACGATTCGAGGACGTACGAGCATAGGATCTCCGAAGCTTCTACCCGATACCCCTTCCCGTTTGCCGCCGTCTGAACACCACAAGCGCCACGCCACGAAACAATACAATTGCGTTTGAGCCTCGCCACCGGGGTATTAGGCTAAATGAATCCTCATCACGAGTCGGTGGCTGCTCTAATTATGCCACTTGGTAAGGACATCTAAAGAGAGAGAGCCAGTCAGTTGAGTAGCCCCTATTCAAGGTGTAATGGTTCATCGCCTGTCGTGACGATCAGGAACAGCTTACACTATGGTTGGTCAAATGTCAGGTTGATCATGGCGTTGTCCTGCGTAGACGATCCTGATTCACATAGTTCACCCATATGTGTTCCTTCTGGTTGACTTGAGAATAGGCACCTGAGACGTTTGCCTAAAGTCTAGATGCAAGGCGAGAATCATCTGACTCCAACAACGGCCACCCTCCGATCCTTTACTGTATCCTCTCGTCGACGCGTGAAAAAAGCAAGATAGATACAACCCTGAGCATGATTTGCTGGTCAGCAGCGTCCTGTGGCTCCACTTCGTCGATCAAGGGAACACGCTTAGGTACCAGGCGCTTCAAGTGGCTGTATCATGCGATTTTGTGCGCATCAGCTGATGCTACTCCTTCGCGTGTACGGGCATTTCGTTCACCTTCCTAGCGTTGAGCCTGATTTGACAGCCGTGCCAGTACTTCAGGTTATAACACAGGGGTTTTCGAAGTCTGACATATGTTCCAAGTACTCCTTAGGTCGCCCGATAGCCTGCTTTCTGTCTCGGGTAAGAAGGAGAAGCTGCGTCATTATCAGTACGGCTGTATGTCGTTTGTATAACAATACGTAGAGGCCGACATTGGCACCGAGAATTGTTATCATCTCAACTCTTTTCCTTCGTTCTGTAAGCCTTGTAGCCATGTGCGCTCATCAGGGATTGAGAGATCTTTTTCATTTGAACCAAGAAACCTGGAACTAACCAGACAGGTCTCTATGGGCTTTGTATTCAGATCTGGCGGCAGTCTCCATCATACATTGCAGATGGCAGTGTTTCAACATGTGCATAGTTCTGAGGAGCGAAGATGCTGCGATGCTCGTCGTGGTCAGCCAAGGTGGGTCCAATCAGGTTCCGTGGAGCTCCGCAGTGCATGGCATCATGACTACCCGCGTGCACGCGCCGTCATCCTTCGCATTGCATAGCCACAGTCGCCCAATGGGCCCTCTCACGCCCAGGACGTTACGACCACGATCAGCAAAATGTGGAGCAGCAACGGTTTGATACGAGGAAAGAAGTCTTGGGCCACGTTTGAAATCTTGGGCGCGCCACCAGAGGCCGACGTTGGATTCAACATGTCGCACTCGCTATCCAACTTGACAACAGTGTCGTCCGGTCTCTAGCCTCGTCGCACGTACTTTCGCTACTACTCAGCGTATCCGATACTGCAAACATGTTCGCAAAGACTGGGCTCCTTCTGCTGACGGCGGCGGCGGGCGTCGTGGGCGACTTCATGGTCTATACAGAGCCGCCAATCCCAACGTCGGCCATCCCAACCTTCGCGAACCCATCCGATGTATGCTGGGCCCATGCATGGCATCCACCGCGGCCGTACTGACAACTACGCAGGCCTCGAGCTGGACAACCTCCGTCTTCCTCAACGCGCAGATAGCTTACGGCCGCTTCACAGGCTCACTCGGCGAGCCCTACCAATCCTCCCTCACATCCGCCCGCTCCGAAATCGACGCCTTCGTCCGAACTGCCACAAATTACAGCATCCCCGCCGAGGTCACCATGGCTGACGAGGTTCGTTGTCATGGCACGACATGCATGTGAGACATAGACTGACTTTGCGTCTCTGCATCTGCAGACGCCCACATACTTCTCAAGGCCAGATTGGTACACAGCCCTGCCCAGTGCGGCCAGGTCCTTCAAGGAACAGCAGGTCAGCGACCAGTTCAGCATCGTGAGGAGCGTCATTGCCGCGAGGGCTCCTACTTCCACGACGGGCTCTGAGGGAGCCGCCATGCCCACTGCACTTGCTGGACAGTGGCTTCCGGCTGAGTTTGGCGTCATGGCGGCTGCGGCTGCGGCTGCCTTTTTGTGAGATACCATCAGATCATAGTTTACATAATACAACCCAAGCCATCACCACCGTAAGTAAGCCAGGACAAGTAATATGCTCGCGCATCAAGCAAGGTCCGAATAACCCCATCCAATCCTACATGAATAACACACCAATGGCACGCGTCGCTGTACGCTTCTCGTATCCACCAAGCGTCGCCTATTCTTGGCGACCATCGTATGCCTGACCTAACACCAAGACTGCTATAAGAAACCTTGTTACAAGAACCGGAATTGGGTCACTCATGAACCAACAGACATCTCCCCCTCTACGAAAATGTCAAACTATGATCAAGCCCACTCTTTCCCTGTCTACGTTCACCCCATCCCCCAAAACCACCCTACAATCTGCGCCTATGAGCGCCGCCATTCCAACTCCTCGGACTGCAAGCATGCTGTGGTCTTCATCGGTGGACTAGGTAGTGGTCCGCATACGACGCATTACCTTGACGCCTTGAATGCCATGTTGGAATGTGCTAGTCAGAGTAGCACGGATAACGTCAAGTACAATCTGTGGGAGTTGAGAATGAGGTCTAGTTATACCGCGTTTGGCTATGGAAGTCTTAAAGAGGATGGCGAAGATGTTGCGAGTCTGGTGGGACATCTCAAGGGAATCGGAGTGGAGAAAATCGTTCTGGTGGGCAGCTCAAGTGGTAAGATGGTTCATATCCAGCCTCCTTTTCTCTTCCCTTGAAATTACCAAACTCCGCTGACATGCCCAAAGGCTGTCAGGCCATCATGACTTATGCCAGTACTGAGCCGGCGCCACCTCCAGTCGACGGCTATATCATGCAAGCCCCAACTTCAGATCGCGAAACAGCAGGATTACTCATGCCACAGGACCTGCTTTCCGCTAGTCTCGAATACGCTGGAGATCTTATTGCTAAAGGCAAGGAGAAGACCATCATGCCAGCCTCCTTCATCCCATCTATCATCACCTCGCCTGTGACAGCATACCGCTGGTACTCCTTAGCCTCCGTTGGCGGCGATGACGACTTCTTTTCGTCTGATCTACCGACCTCAGCTCTTCAGTTTACCTTTGGAAGACTGGACAAACCGATGTTAATTTTGATGTCTGAGAAGGATGAGATGGTTCCGCTTACGGTGGATAAGGAGTTGTTGCTGGGGAGATGGGTCAAAGCCATTCCAGAGGGTTTGGCGAGTGAGCAATCACAGATTATTACCACCGCTGACCACGAGCTCAGCGAGGAAAGAGTAGCTAGGTATTTCGTAGGGCTGGTTGTTGAATTTCTAAAGGAGCTCAACAAGGAACCTGCTGGAGCGCCCTTGAAGGTCTGCTAACCATGTATTTGAGAATTCACGTTGTTCACATCAGAAGCGTATACAAAACTTGTAAGCCTATGCGTCAGCCCTCCGTTGCTCTACTCGCAACATCTCTCCTCGCCAAAGCCACCGCACTACTCATCCTCTTCACCCCTGTCCCCCATGGGCGGTAAGAATGACGTCAGCGGCCCCATGTGCAGCCCTCTCCCGTCTGCGCATGCAGCATATAGAAACCCCGCTATGTCATGCATCTATTTTCCAGTTTTCTGGTTCATGATATATTCCCGTCTCAAACTCTAATGTATAATTCAGTATTCTTTGCTTTTTGAACAGTACACAAATTCAGCTCCAACAACCACACCATCGCGCGCTACTACAAGTCTACAAAATGGGTATTCCCTACTCCCGCCAAATCAACGCCGCCTTCGAACAAGTTACACCCCTCGTAGCCGCAGGTTTCAAAGTCCTCCGTACAACACGCGACATCTCCATTCTACTCGCTGTTATTCAGGTCTTGACTGTTTTCTTACTGGGACTTATCCTCATCGCGCTCGTTGTCCTTCTGTATTGCGTGAATCCAGATTTGGAGGTTCGCTTACACCTTGACGATGCTTGTAACACTCCGTTCGATACTGATGTCTACCAGGAAGAAAGGCAAGCTATCATAACGCCTTGGTTGCGGTACTTTGCTGGTATAACGCTTTGGTCGGTATTGAGAACTTTTCTCTCCCTTCTAGCGGTAGCAGGGCTTGCGGGGGCAGCGACATGGCACTTTTTCTTGGCGAAACAATGGGTCGAGGATGTGGAGTATGAGGGCAATGTCGATGCTGATAAGGCGCTCGAGGATCTAGATGATGATGCTCAGGCTGAAGGCGGTGGAAATGGTGGAAATAAGGGAAAGGGAAAAGGGAAGAAGTGAGAAGAATGTAGTCATTGGAAGCAGAGGAAGATGGCGCCGACCATAATTACTAGCACAATTCATTACCGTTACCGAACCAGCAAGTTCTACAACAAACAAAATAGAACTTGCCAGTCATCTGACGTCGTAAGAACACTACTATTACAACAATTTCTGCCTTGGACTATACCCGTCCCAATCAAGCAAGAGCAACGCAAACATACCACCCATAACCGGCCTAGCCTTGAAATCAATTCCATCCGGCTGTTTTCCATCGTCTGCCTCGTAAAGATCGCTAAAGGCATGCGAACTGGTCGTCTCGCGCACCCACTTCGCCAGTTTCCCAATGAACATGTCGCGCGTTTCTTGGCTCGCGATGGCAGCGCAAAAGACCTCCCAGTCAGACTTGGTGTAGCCATGCCGTGTATCAAGGGGAACGCCATAGTTTTCGCTGATGGTCGGGTAGAAGGCTGATTGAATGTCGTAGATCTCCTGGGGAACGAGTGTGAGATTCAGAAGGCGGTCGTTGTAGAGGTTGTACAGCAGGCCATGGGTGTCCTCGTTGCCGTAATTCAGAATGGCGTGCGGAGGAGTGGCGTTCTTGTTCATACCCAGGTCTACCCATTTGGTGATGTAATCGTGGGCCACAGCGGTATAATTTTCTGCGTCATCGGTTTCGCCGACGATGCGCGATAGTTGCGACATAGCTTCGAGTCCGATGATGCCTTTTAGTGCGAGATTGGTTTGATTAGGCAGATTACCAGCGAAATCGTCGGTGGAAAGCTGCAGGGCTGGGTAGAGACTGTCATCGACGAGGTATTGAGCCCACTGTTTGAGGATGGGGTAGTGTTCCTTGATGTAGTCGGAATCGCTGGATAGCTGAACGTACGCGAGCATCATGATCACATTGTTACCGCATTCCTCTAGTGGCATAGGCTCATCAGCACCGTCTGGATGTCCAGTGGCATTGGGATAGTGCGTTCCCAAATCGTGGATAGCGGATTTCTTTGGGTAGTGCCCACTTTCCTGGTTCTCAAAGTGTGGATCGAGCATCAACTTGACCAACTCGGGGTTGGTATAGAAGAAGATTGGAGAAGCGGGATATATGACGTCGATGGTCTGAGTATTACCGTTAGACGAGATTTCTTTGAGGAACAAGTAGTGCTTCTTCTCAGTTCCAACGAGTTGAGTAGCCCCGAATGCCTGGCGAGTAGCCAGTGTGGTAAGTACGGCATAGTCATCTCCTGCTATCGTCTTGGAATCCTTCGAAATCTTATCATCGAGTTCAGTGGAGAGTTTGCTAGACTCGTTGTAATCGTTGTAGAAGAAAGACAACGCAGAGATATCATCTCCAAAATAATCCCTCCATAATGATGGTAGAATCACAAGGCCGTCCGCACCCAGAAACTGAATGGCGTCGTCCTGACATAGACCAATCGTGAATAACTGTGACTTCACGTCTGAACCAACGGAACCCATAGCTAGGGCGTATCCAAACACAGGCCAGCCGGTATTAATGGGTCGGAACTCTGAGTCTTCCGCTTTGTAAAGTCTTCCGTCGTTGTCAAAGGCATCGCGGACTTCAGAGTCCGCGCCCGACTTATGTGTAAGACCTTCCACTGCTTTAGTGGAATAATACCAGTTACCCCATTGTGATTGGTCGTTGTGCTCGTTGAAGACTTGTTGGTCTTGCTTCCAGACCTTGTGGTAGTTGACGCCATCCGACGTAGTACCAAAGCCCCATTCAGCTACAGCAGTGGGATCACCAGACACCCATTCTAACTCGATTTAGCGCACACACATACATAGGAATAAGCTAGATACTCACCAGCGCTGATGTCAGTGTAGATCTGCACATCATGTTCGGAATTGTCGAGGGATGAGACCTCGACGTCCATGTAGGAGAAAATCAGTGACTGACGCTTGTAGTCGTTGGGAGTAATTGGCGACAAGAACGTGACCTTGAGTTGAATCTTGTCGTCGGCAGTAAGGGTAAAGATACTCCTGGTCGACGTATACTCGTATGACGTTTGATTAGCCAGATCGTTGTAGCCGTCCGGCGCACCCATCCAAACGAACGTGTTCCCATCGACTCGAACTAGACCAGTCCACCCCAGCGTCTGTCCACTGCTTTCTGTTAGTATGTAGTAAGCAAGTACCGTTGAAGGGCGACCTACGTCCAGAACGATGGCCATTGACCGGGCAAATATCCTCCATTTCCGCCATTACTGCCCGCAGGAAACCATGCGCTTAGATATGGGTTCTTCACTGCCAGAGGCAAAGACGGTGGGCGCGTCGGGGTGAACTTCGAGGCGGACTGGGCAGCAATGGTAAGGAAGAAGTTGATTAGTATGGCTAGAAAGAAGAGAAACATATTGGATGAATAAATGGTCGGGAAGTGGGTAGGGAAGTGCATTAGAGAGCCATGAGATAAAAGAATCATTTATATACACTAATCATGGCTGCTCGTTCGTTTTTATCGCCTCGTGCTCATTGCAGCTAGTTTTCACGGATGCAGGCATCAGTGCATCGAAAGAGTTACTACCACCACTGGAGGTCGAAGCTTTCTTAAATTCTAGGATCAGCACTAACTTGATCTAGTACGCAATCGAAGGCTGCTTGCCCGTTTGTATTGTATCGTGGTCACTGCAGCAGTACGCCTGACTTACATGTGGAGGCCATGCTAGACTAACTAGCAAAGGTCCGTGAGCACGAGGCTGACCGGCTCTCGAAACATCATATCAAACCTTCTGCAGATCAGTCGGCCGTAATCAGGCGACCGTTTCCATCACCCCATAGTCGTTTGGTGCAGCCTTGCCTAATTTGGCAGAGCATCCTCTGCGCGGACCTGTATGCGCTATAGGCCGGTTTGTTTCCCGAAAACTATGGGTGGCGAGGTAGAACGGTGTTGGCAGAGTTCACGATCCTCGTGACGCTTTTGCCTCGGTGTTGAAGCGCGACGAAGCACTTGTGTCCAGTAGTCGAGGGTACAAGTGACGTTGAACTCCAGGCTTGGAAGAAGCGCTACTCACGCGAGCGCGCTGCTGGCGTTGGATTTGTTTGGAAGAGGAAGGAGCCAAAGCATTAGCGGCGCAGCGACACATGTGGACGTCAGATACCCGAGAAGACATAGACGAGATACTACAAAGCCGTTTGTCTTGGAGCCCAGTGTATGGACACGACGGATCGGATGGGTGTCGTACTGCGGGGAAGGCTTGCAGATCCGGAAAGTGCCATTGACATGCTTGCAGCTTATGTTTTTGGGGGCACACCCGCTGCAAATTGGTAGCACGAAAACCAGGACTACAGATTTTTGGGTAGCATTGCCACGTTGTTTATATTAAGTGTCAAGTTCCATGTGAGCAACACGATCATGAGGGCACACATGGCTTATGAGTAGTGATAATTCATTGTAGATGCTCATCAAAATATGAGGTCGCGTAAGCCGTTAGTTGTCGCCTACAGGCATGACAAATGCTAGGATCCATGGTAAGGACCACGCGCATCAGGGGGCCAAATAGAATACAATATATCGTGAGACTGGCCGACCTCTCGTGAAGAAGAACGCCAGCAAAAGCAGGATCGTGAGTGGAAGAACAGCGTAGGGTATCCAAAAGCCAACGGAAGTGACCGAATCGCAAAATGCCCGATGATAAGAGAAAACCAAGGGCGAAATATAAGCAAGGAAAAGAGACGCAATGTGAACCGGGTATCCAAGGGTGTAACGCAAACCGGCCCATCCAACACCAAACGTTACTGGTACAAAATATAATCATCGCTTCATGACTCAGCGACCCAAGGGCGAACCACATGCTCGAATTGTTGCTCGCATTCGCGCAGCCACGCGCACTCCAAAATGTCATGGACATTCCAGCGCTTTTCAACATCGACCTCGAGACAACCCCTGACAAGCGCGAGGGCGTCGTCGATGTTGCTTACTTGGGCTGCCTCTGCATTACGGACGAGCTCCGCATCCCACTCGCAATTTCGGATTTTCTCAATCGTCTTGATGTCCAGACCGTCATTGAAAGGTAGAGTCGCGGTAAGTAGAGCGAACACAACTACACCAAACGCCCAAATGTCCGCCGCAGGGGAGAAGACTGGCCCAGGTGCGTTGAACAACTCAGGAGCCGCATATTGCAGACTGCCGGCGATAGACGTGCTAGTCTCTGCGGGGCCTATGTTCTGATTTTCACCAATCGAGTGGGGCTCGGGGCCGTCACGCTGGTCGCTAACAATAAAGTCTGCCATGCCGAAATCGCAAAGCAAAAGATCGCCGCCGTCCCTCTCAGCATCAGCTACCGTCATATCAAGAAGGCAGTTCTCGAGCTTGATGTCGCGATGTACAACCTGAACGTCGTTGTGCAGGTAGCGCATAGCCGATGCTAGCTGGTACGCGTAGCGCTTCACCAAGTGAGCTGGCAGACCATTCTTCTTGAGGCGGCGTGTGTCGCGGATCAGGTCGAAAAGAGTCCCACCCTTGTTCAATCTAGTAATGCAGAAGGTAGCGTAGTCGGTGGTGTAAACCCTCAGGAGAGGAAGAATATAAGGGTGACGCAGGAAGCGCCAGATCTCCACCTCGTGATCGAATTGTGTCTGAATCTGTTCGTTCTCAAGTTCTGATTTGTCCTGTTGCAACTTGCGCACAATCTTGACAGCATCGGTGACAGGCTTCCCATTCTCCATGCTTGTGACCTCCTTGACAACGCTAAAGCCGCCATAGCCAATCTGCTTTCCAATAATGTACTCGCTGTCGTACCCGATGCCTTGGCCTTCATCATCTGGCTCAGGCGCTTTGATAGGAGCCTCAGTGGCTTTGTAGCGCGCCAGGAAGGAGGCAGCCGGCGACATGGACGAAAGTGACCGACCAGAGCGGGCAGAGGATCGACGACTAGCCCTCTTGAGGCTGCCGTCTTCGCCAATCTCCGATCTCCAGCTCTTGGTCCGAGGTGGGCCCACGCGCCGAGGGGAGGGCGAGAATAGCGGGAACTCCATAGGGGACGTGGCGGGCATTGGCGAAAGCATGTACTCGGAGGGCGTCTCGAGGGGAGTTTGGGCCTCGTCTAACGGCGGCGAAGCGGTGGCATCAGAAGTCAAGGATGCAACCTGATCGCGGTACTCGGAGTCGTGGGCAAGGTCGTCGACGGTGGTTTGGGCAAGGGGGTACCGGGGCTCTCCAACGCGGTACTGCATGTTTCTACGCATGGTGTAGGGCATTTCCATGTAGTCTTGCTGTGAGCCATCTGAGTAGCTTCCACTCTCGGTCGTGCGTGAATGCGACTGCCGTGAAGACTTGGGCACGGGCACCCCTAGGCCAACGCCCTCTCCCGTGTCGAGCCGAACCTCATTGTTGAAACTAATGCTCGTCTTGCGTTGCCTGAATTTGGCTACGAAGTCCTCGTCGCTTCCGCTGCTGCCCACTGCGAGGGACCCCTCATCGTCGGATTCAGTGCGCGAGTGGGCGCCATGGTGGTCACGTTTGTTGTAGGGACCGCGCGAGATGTTCAGCGGTTCTGCAGCAGCAAATCCGGCGGTTAGCTGGGACTGGCCATGGTGGTTGTGCGGGGACTGTTTACGGGCTAGAGGCGCGAAAGATGCAAAGGTCGAGGCGACGGGTTTGTGGGGCGTCGAAGTGTCGAGTTTGAGCTTCTGGAAAGTGTGTGAGGGTTCTGAAATTGGGGCCATTAAACCGGTTCACAGTGGTGCAAACCTCTTCTTACAGCGGCGACTGGGTGTATTAATGTGTGCGGCGATCGTGGGGTGAGGGTCGCGCGGCGAAGGGCGAAACCGGGAAGTAAAGTAATAAGATTATGTTCGGGCTTGGAGACAGCGGAGTGCTAGCGGAACGTTGAAATTGCAGGCGCGCCGAGCAGCGGTATGCCTGGGAAGATTTCTCGCAGCGGCAATCACTTGATGAATCTGGGGTGCAAAGAATTGGAATGAGAGGGGGACGAGTGCGAGAAGGAGTGTAATGTTCTTTGTTTGAATATTGCTTCTCGTTGCTCAATTTCCGGCCTCCCCCACGCACTTTGTTAATAGGCGGCAGTCAGCGGAGGCGCAGGCGCAGAGGCACGTGAGCGACCAGACCAAGCCATGCAACACGTCTGCACCTATAGGACGCGTTCCCAGGGTAATCTGCTGCTTTTGAGCATAGCGAGTGGGTGCGTGGTGAAGACTCTGGGCAGTCTAACGTGGTAGGTGTGCTGGACGATCCATGGTAAAGCAGATAGCCAAGCAGCCGTCGTCGGATAGTGACGCTCGAGGGAGGGAGACGAGTAGGGCTACCCCGCGCGGAAGTGCTAGACTGCTAGGCATGCTTTATAATAATTGTACTGATGAAGGGCTTCGCAGAGTCGTGGTGATGGCAGCAGCGGGCGTGGGGCGCGTCAGGCAGATGCTGCATGGCCGAAAAGCGGCCCGCTCGACCGTACATGACGCCGGGCGTTGCAAAGGCGAATAGCGAAGCATGAGGACCATAATTGTGAGCTGTCCGGCGCATTGTTGGTTGTACACGTCAAACGGCCGAAACATGACGTCGACGCCGCGATGGAGCTCAACGCGGTTGGCTCACGACAGCGACAAGTAAGAGACATGTTCCAGGGTCCCTGTTCCTCGCAGCTGGACCCTTTGAAGTTGCTCCGGCGTGGTGGATTAATGATACTAACCTTGACGATACTAAGCCTGAAAGCGTGGAATGGGGCAGAGATACACGGGTGACGCGGTTCTGTAGGCTGCGGGCACGGCAGCATTGAGACCTGGCTGAGATGACAGACTGCGCATACTGCACCGCAAAGTCTGCTGTCGCGTTCACGTCGCGGCATGCAGCGACAAGCTCGTCCAAGCTCGTGGAGCGGCCAAGTACTTTGTTGCTGTGCATGCTGCATGTCAAATCTCGTTTTCACGTGAAGCTGCTAGCCTCGCGCTTGTTGCACTGACTGCATGCTCGGGCGACGCTGCCGCCCGCTACTGCTAGCTAGCACACCTCCAAGTTCCCTTTGCCAAGCTCTCTTCACTACCCTGGGGCGGGTGACAACATCACCAAGCTCAACCACCCATCGCACCAGCCCAACCCTAAACCTCTGCCCGCTGCCCGCATTCTTCGCTGCGCCACTGCATTGCGACTCTGAATCTGCAGAGCCGATAACAAGACTGATCGGCCGGACCGCGAACGTCTGCGCCTCCAGCCATGGGCATCTCCGACGTTTGCTACCGTTTCTTCTGCTGCGGCGGTCAGTCGACCCAAATCTCTGGCATTGGAGCTTACTGACGAATCATCTCCAGGCCGCTCAAGAGACAGCATATATGACCCAGTGTTGGCAGACAGCGAACGGGAAGCTGTCGCCGACCTGCTGGGCTTCCTCGAGAACGTACTGCTTCCCACCGCCTCTCCGCAGCCATCCCGCATGCTAACTTGCGCAGCGAGCCGAAACCGACTTCTTCTCAGGCGAACCCCTCCGCGCGTTGAGTACTCTGGTATACTCGGACAACATCGACTTACAGCGATCGGCAAGCTTGACCTTCGCCGAGATAACAGAACGAGGTACATACCTGACACCACACTATAGCACATGCAGCCTCTAACAACCTTGGACAGATGTCAGAGAGGTCGACCGAGACACTCTGGAGCCTATTCTGTTCCTGCTCCAGAATCCCGACATCGAAGTGCAGCGTGCAGCGAGCGCCGCCCTGGGCAACTTAGCGGTAAACAGTATGTTCGCACGGCACAACTTTGAGACAAACACTGACTCCCGCAGCCGAGAACAAGGTGGCCATCGTCGCACTCGGTGGTCTTGCGCCATTGATCAAGCAGATGAACTCGCCTAATGTCGAGGTACAATGTAACGCCGTCGGGTGCATCACCAACTTGGCTACACACGAGGACAACAAGGCAAAGATTGCACGGTCCGGCGCACTGCAACCTCTCACACGGCTAGCTAAGTCAAAGGATATGCGCGTGCAGAGAAATGCAACCGGCGCACTGCTGAACATGACACACTCAGGTACGATGTTCGTTATCTCGACATAGTTTGTGCTGACATGGAACCAGACGACAACCGTCAACAGCTCGTAAATGCTGGCGCTATCCCCGTCCTTGTTCAGCTACTGTCTTCATCTGATGTCGATGTCCAGTACTACTGCACCACCGCCCTCAGCAACATTGCTGTCGACGCAAGCAACCGCGCCAAGCTGGCACAGACTGAAGGCAGGTTGGTTGGCTCTTTGGTACACCTTATGGAGTCGTCCTCGCCCAAGGTGCAGTGCCAGGCCGCACTTGCTCTTCGTAACCTTGCGTCGGATGAACGCTACCAGCTCGAGATTGTACGCGCTCGTGGTCTGCCTTCCCTCCTCCGCCTTCTGCAATCGTCATACCTACCGCTGATTCTATCCGCCGTCGCGTGCATACGAAACATCTCCATCCACCCCGCCAACGAGTCGCCTATCATCGAGGCTGGCTTCCTTAAGCCGTTAGTCGATTTGCTCGGCTCCACCGATAACGACGAAATCCAATGCCACGCAATCTCCACCCTGCGTAACCTTGCGGCAAGCTCAGACAAGAACAAGCAGCTGGTTTTGGAGGCGGGTGCTGTGCAGAAATGCAAGTCGCTCGTGCTCAACGTGCGACTTCCAGTACAGTCTGAGATGACAGCTGCGATTGCCGTTCTTGCTCTGAGTGAAGAGCTCAAGCCTCACCTGCTCAACCTGGGAGTCTTTGATGTACTCATCCCACTTACCGAGTCGGAAAGCATCGAGGTTCAAGGTAACAGTGCGGCTGCTCTCGGGAACCTGTCGTCCAAGGGTAAGTTTGACTCATCGCTCGTCTGCTCAACATCCTCACTAACGAATCTAGTCGGCGATTACTCGATATTCATCCAAAACTGGACAGAACCCGCAGGCGGAATCCACGGCTATCTCCGCCGCTTCTTGGCGAGCGGAGACCCAACTTTCCAGCATATCGCTATTTGGACACTGCTACAGCTACTCGAGTCGGAAGACCAACAGCTCATGGAGCACATTGGCAAGTCGAACGAGATCATCGACATGGTCACCGACATTGCTGAGCGCAACATCGAGTCAGATGACGAAGACAATGAGGATGGTGAAGGCGAAGTCGTCACCCTCGCACGCAGATGTCTTGAGCTGCTGGGAAAGAGCCCCAAGACTCTCGTCGAGGGATAGAAAAGCGTTGGATCGCATTTATACCCTGTTTATCGGTTGTTCATCGCGTTGACTCCCTTGCTCGTACTCACCATATTCCGGTTTTCTCTTAATGCGTTTACGTTACACTGCTTTTGGGCATCTTGAAGGCTGGCGTTCAGGGGCATAAGTATCCTCAGTATCTCTAGCGAGCATTGGCGGAGCGGGCTTTCACATACATTGGCATGCACTTCACTTACCACTACTCTTTTCCGAGCATTCGGCGCGGACGAATTTGTAATTGATAGAGTTGGATGGAGGTTTCCGTGGTCAGGAAATGAATTAAATGATGTTCGGAATCTTATTGGCGCTTTGATAGTGATGTACTTGACTAATCAGTGAGTCTTTAAAACTATTGTCCAGAATGTATCCTAGAGTGAGAAGTAAGAGCATACAGCCATGCCCACTCGATCTGTGGAAGAGCTTAGTCGAGACCCCTCACCTTGACATGTGACGTCGCGTCGGAGCTAACGAGTTTATCGATAGCCAAAATATTTGCGACTTGCGCGAGTCACCACGCACCACCATTCCACACGATCCAAACAACAGCAATGCCGCCAAAACCAAGAGGACGGGGAAGCACCCGCGCTCGCGGAAGTGGAAGAGGGGGAGTCGCAGCAGGACGAGCTACCACTGACACGAGTGAATCCACGGATGCGATCCCACAAAGCACAGCTCCCGCTGACGCCTCGGAAGCTCCCACTGAGCCCGTAGTACCAAAGCAAGAAGATGGCGATGCGAAGCCAGTCATTATTGGTCAAGGCCCATTGGCGACTGCAGAGCCACAGGCTTCCGAGGCGCCTTCAGCGACTGTATCGTATGCTTTACTCCTCTATCTACCTCGACTCTGGTACTAATACGTATACAACAGTGCTGTCGCATCACCTCAGCCTGACGCAGAACCAACAGCTCGCGCTCCAGTACAAAGGCTCGGAAGTCTTCAAGGCTCTGTACCTCCTTCACGATCAGCATCACCGTCTGTACGCGGCCGCGGCGGTACAACTCGAGGCAAGAGGGGCGTCAAGACCCCCGCCTTCACAGGAAGAAGGAGCAAAGAAGAGCGAGACGCTATTGCAAAAGAATTGGCAGCTCGCGACCGAGAAAGGACAAAAGAGCAGGTTGCTGCGGACAAGAGAAGGGAAGCGGAGGCGGCAAAGGCAGCAAGGCGAGAGGCCAGCAAGCTGAAAAATGCCAGAGGTGGTTTCAGTGGAGTCGCGAGTGGACCCTTCTCCTTAGGTAGCTCTAAAGAAGGTAAGCAAGTTCGTTTGGCTATGGTTATCTGTATTGACCTTCACGACAGACAGGAAGAACAGCTCAAATCGCGGTTTCTCTGGCTTCGGATCTGGATCTGGCTCTCGAGCAGAGCGCGTCAAGAACGAGGACGGCAGTTACGGAGGGTCTGGTTCCCGGTCAGGCGGAGGTGGAGGTGGAGGAAGCGGAGGAGGGTCATCGATCAAGAGAGAAGATGGTGGGCTTGTGTCATCTGATGACGAAGACCTGGCCGACATACCGCGTAGGGATATCGATCTGATCGAAATCTCCTCAGACGAAGACGAGACTAAAGCGAAAAGTGCGCCTTCACAACGCGGGCCGCGAACAGCTTTACCCGTTCGCATTGGCAGAAAAGAACACCAGGAGCGGACTATCGGTATCAACACAGAGGCAAGCTCGGAAACTTCAGCAAAAATACTGGAACAAGCGGAATCGAGCGGCCAGTCACCAAAAAATGTTGCGTCTGAGCAAACAAGCCGGAAACCAAAGAACAAGTCAAAGGATGTAGAAATCACGGGTTCGCGGAAACAGTTCAAGGGCGTATGGCATGACTCAGAAGACTCGGATGTTGTTGTCAAAACCGAGCCTACGAGCGAAGACGAGAACATGGTCGATGCTGAGCAGGTAGGCCTGTCCGATGCTCCTGCTCAGTCCTCAGAAAAACAAGAACCGTCGTCACCAAATGCCGAGCGGAAGCCAAAACTTAAGAAGAAGAGTATAGCAGAACCAGTGCTCCAGACTGACGAAGATCGCGCCGAATGGGCACGTTTTCAATCGAACCTACGCCATATCCGAGCCGAGTTGGGTCCAGAGGAGATACCACAAGTCGATGGATCCGGCGACATACCGATGACAGACGCAGCTAACACAGAGAAGAAGCCTACAGTGCGAGACAACAACGTCTATCTGTTCCAAATACCGCCCCTTATGCCAGCAGTAGAGCCACCATCCATCAAGAAAGAAGCACCAGATCCTCAGTCTGCATCCCTACCTACGCAGCCATCAGCTAAAACGGATCCAAAGATCAAAGTCGAGGAAGGCAGCTTTTCCGATCCCTCTGCTAGGCCCAAAGAAGGTGTTCGATTTGGGAGTGGATTGGTTGGAAAGTTGCGGGTACACGAATCTGGCCGCACAACGCTGGACTGGGGCGGCACGAGCTACGAACTCACGCCTGGCAACAAGGCCAGTTTCCTACAGGAAGTTGCTAGCCTTAATATGCGCCCCGAGAATGAGAGAGCTGCGCCGGAGGACGCAGGTGAAGCAATCAGTCTTGGTAGAGTGAAGGGCAAATTCGTCGTGGTGCCAAACTGGGGCGAGATGCTCGGCTGAGATTGGGGTAGAAATAGGCGTTCATGACATGCATCTATTGGCGCTAAGCGGATTAATCTAGGTCCGTGGTTCATAGTTGCATATCTCAAGAGCGGTCTTCAGGTCCGCTACTAATGAACAACACGAGAACAAAGATCGAAATTCATACATTCATGCAAAAGCTAGCGTTGTGAGTGTAGACCGCATCTCGCTAAGTTTCACGCTTTGGTTCTTTCGCCTCGGCAAGACCATTCAGGCATGGATACCCAAGTTCTAGACAAACAGATGTGCTGTGGGGATAACAGGGCGGGCCGCCAGTGGCCTAGGTCATTGGTACGTACGGTAGTCGTTCGGCGACGAATCCCATAGTGGCAATCAGCGAAAAGCGAATTGCCCATGACCGGCCAACTCGTGCAACTGCCATCTGCTGCAACGCCTGCAACTTCGCGCATTATCACGGGTACGGACTCATCGCCGCTATTGTATGTAACAGGACCATTGTACTCTCCGCGGCGCGCTTTCGGCGCCTTTCCCGCGCTGATTCCTACCTTCTCCACGCGCCGTCCAATCACAGCATCGACGACGCAGATCCGCCATGGAAGTGGACATCCGACAGCTATACGACAGCGACCCACGACCAACCTTCATCGTCGACTGCGAAGCTCAGACGACGACTATCTGTCATGTCAATACCGCCTTGCTTGCCATACCACATATTGCATCGTCGCTGCACTCGCCTTCGTCGCTGAGAGACTGGTGGGATCCTACAAGTAGGGTCGCAGCTTGCCACCAAGAGGAGTTCCTGCATGGACGATATAGATGGGCCAAGTTCACTGCATGCAAGCGCTGGCTGATTGTCACCATCGTTGAACAACCAGCACCAAACGACGAGCAGCCTGGTCGTCTGCAAGAGCCTACACAGGTGGCGCGAGGGAGATTGTCGTCGCCTCATCTGCAACCAGTGCGAGACAATATCTTTACCGTCAAGATACAGTCGCCAGAGCTGCGCGAGCATGTCGAGAATATACGGAACGTCAACTGGTCTAAGACATCGCTTGGTCCGATCAGTTCTTGGAACTATGAGCTCAATGTTCTGGTCACCACTTTAATGCTAGAGACACGCCCTACAGCCCTCTTCCTTGGCCCCGAGCACACGATCTTATACAATCTCGCGTATGCCGCAGTCAGCGGCTCGAGACATCCTGCGATCCTCGGTCAGAGTATTATTGATGCCTGGTAACTTCTTACGCCTACTTATGGGAGTTTAACGTCTAATTTGCTGCAGGCCTGAACTCGCGGACCCTGTAAACGCTACAATGGCTCGCTCGGAGAGCACACGGTTTGCCGACGCCCCCGAAGAGGAGTATCATTTCATGGTCGAACGTTTCGGCTTCGTTGAGGAAGCGTTCTTCAAATGGAGCCTTGTGCCGCTTATTGATGTTAAAATAGACGGCATGTATTCCATTGTCACTGAGATTACGAAACAAAGGTAGGAGAGTCTGATGTTTGACATGGTGAAACCATTGACATGACGTATGCAGATTGCTGGAACGCCGCGTTGATGCTCTACTCAGAGTTAGTCAGATGACTAGCAAAGCGAGAAACACCAAACACTTTTGGCAGAGTTTGGCCGACGCTATCAGGCCTTACGAATACGACTTTCCAGCTGCCGTTTTATACTCTCAGTGCGAGCTTCTCGATCCGATAGACTCTGCCTCCCCACCGAAAGGGCCACTAAATGAATGTACGCTAGAATGGTCTATAGGCTACAAACCTAATCATCCGGCCATACCTCCGCATTTGGACCTGGACAGTGATCTTGGCTTAGCTCGCGCCATGCGCGATAGCGCCAGAGGTGGGACTGCACCGTCGTATCAGGAAGAGGAGGGCGTGTTGCCATCTTCCTTATACCATGACCTTGAACAGCGGGCGTTTGGGGATTCATTGAGGTGTTTTCTTGTTGCTCCAGTTAGGACTTATGACGAAACTATCGTGGGATACCTTCTAATCGGCTTGAACACGCGACGACCCTACGACAACGAATACAAAGCTTGGATAAAAGTGTTCTCGAATCTGCTGGGTGCTTCAGCGGCCTCAGTAGCGCTTCATGAAGAAGAGATCCGGAAGCGCAAACGTCAAGAGGCTCAGGCCGAAAGAGACCGTGCGGCCCTTAATGCCGAAGTTGCAAACCTGACACAAGAAGCTAGTCACGTAGCTGAGAAGCTTCGCAACTTCCACGATATCGCAGATGAAGTCGGTCTAGGGTACTTTGAGATCGACATTAATGGTATACTACTACATGCTAATGTAAGGGCCTTGCAACCATCATGTCGAATAAGACTGACCATGTACCAGGAAACGTACTTCACTCAAACCGGACAACAGAGAGACCTCCTCAAAGTGCCTCCGTTCGCTTACAAGGAGTATGTCTTCGAAGGAGATATACCCATAATGGATAATCAATGGAAAATATTGGCCTCTGGTGAACCAGCGACGTTCGAGGTTCGATGGAAGAAGCAGCCAGAAAAACACCGTGATGGCGAAGAAACTATCGACAATTATCTTTGGACATTGTCAGCCTGTGTGCCGATCAAAGGCGTAAACGGAACAGTTACAGGTGTTTTCGGATGCAACACAGACATCAGTGCTCAAAAGGAGGCGACAAAAGCTGTCCTAATGCGATCGGAGGCAGAGCGACGTTTGGCCAGCTTTACGGAACTCGCGTCTGTGGGTCTATATCACCTGAATCCAGATTTAACGATGAAATACTGCAACGACCAATGGTTTCACATCACGGACCACCCCAAAGTACCGATGGACCAAGTGGACTGGCGAAACATAGTCGACGAGGATATGATAGACCGTTGCTATCATGACGTTAAGGTTACAAAACGCAAGCAGGGGCCGCATACTTTCACAATACATCTCAAGAAAAAGTGGACGGGGCCCGATGGTATTCAGACACCGACCTGGATTCTTGTTAGCGCTACTGCTTACACCGACGGGACCATCATGGGAACAATGACTGATGTTAGTCAGATGGCATGGGCGGAAGCTATCCAGAAGAATCGGGTTGAAGAGGCTCTTGAGTCAAAGAGACAGCAGGAGAACTTCATCGACATGACGTCTCATGAGATGCGAAACCCTTTGAGCGCAATGGTGCAATGTGCAGACTCCATCTATTCGTCGCTGAACGATATGAAAGCTCTCGCACGTAAGGAAGCTCTGACATTCCAACCCACTATTCACAGTCAGCTCAAAGAGTTGATCAGCAATAGTCTGGATGCGGTAGAGACGATACAAGCTTGTGCTACACACCAAAAGCGTATTGTTGACGATATTCTAACACTATCGAAGCTCGACTCGAAGCTTTTGGTCATTAGCCCCATGGTACTACAACCCTCGGTGCTTCTGCAAGACGCTTATAAGATGTTCAAGGACGAGGCGAACAAAGCTAAAGTCAGCCTAGAAGTCAGATGCGATCCGTCCATTAAGGATTTGAATATCGACTGGGCGATTTTGGATCCGAGCCGGGTCTTGCAGGTCCTTATCAACCTACTCACCAATGCCATCAAATTTACTCAAAGCCAAGAAGTCCGCAAAGTCGAAGTAGTCATGGGCGCATCACGAGAGGTGCAACAGATGCGCGATATTGAGTATGTGCCACAGGAAGCCGTGCGGAAGAACTTTCTGACACAGGCTGAATGGGATCATGCTGGAGAGGTATTTTACCTCAACTTCACTGTCAAAGACACCGGATGTGGTCTTTCTCCAGAGCACAAAGCCAAACTATTCCTACGGTTCTCGCAAGCAACACCAAAGACACATGTTCAGTATGGCGGTTCGGGCTTAGGTTTGTTTATCTCGCGCGAGCTCACCGAAATGCAAGGCGGCAGCATCGGCGTTTCCTCCATCCATAACGTAGGATCAACATTTACGTTTTATATCAAATCAAGGAGAGCAAAAGCTCCGGAAAGTGCTCTCGCTGCAACTGTCCTTGACTCGACTGGCAATCTGTCCACTCGCACCAAAGCTCAAATCATTGGAGAGGACAGCAAGAACCCTGACGTAGTTCCACTCGCTGCGACACCCCTGGAAGAGCAAGGAAGAGCAAAAGAAACAGAGAGCTGCAAATACAACATCCTCATCGTAGAGGATAACCTCATAAACCAACGCGTCCTGTCCGCCCAACTAAAAAAATTGGGCCATACGACATACGTCGCAAACCACGGCCTCGAAGCCCTCTCCCAACTCTCACGCACAGTGTTTTCTGCTTCCCCAAGCGAATCCCCACCTCTGCCTCTCTCCGTTGTTCTAATGGACGTCGAGATGCCCGTCATGGATGGCTTGACGTGTACGAGACGGATACGGGACATGGAGCAGAATGGCGAACTGAGCAGGCATGTACCGATTATCGCTGTTAGTGCGAATGCGAGGAAGGAACAGATTGATATGGCGAAAGAGGCTGGCGTGGATGAGGCGATCTGTAAACCGTTCCGAATTCCAGAGTTAGTGGGATTAATGAGGGGAATGGGGGTTAGGGGAGAATAACATGGGCATAAAGCGGAGTTTGATTCTATAGATTGACTTGATGCGATTCCAGAAAGGGTTAGATCTGACCTGCTGGTCAAAGGTGGATACGTCGCGGATGTGTGAGCGTCTTATTGTTACTACCGCACACTATGGCGGATGATGCAATCATATCGATCAGTGATCGATGCATTCAAGGTCTTAGCGAAACGCCCCCAAATTGCTTGCAGCATGTGCATCTAGTGTACCCTGGATTTATGCATACCTTCGTCAGTATGGTGAGCCGGATGCTCTTCCCCACACCTAGTGCGACTACTCTCAGACGCGTCCGAGCACGCGTCGTCCAGTCAACTAGTGGGGTGAACTCAGTTAGTAACGCCATCGAGATCTCGAACCGGTACAAAGCATGTATGGATTAGGAGACCTACTCAGGGGAAGATAACGAGAGTGGGAGATGGGACGGCTCCAGGCGCGTCGAACACGGTCTCACGACGCGTTCTCGGGCCAAAACATAGGCTGGTCAGCGTGTGACGAGTTGGGTGGAGCCAACCAGCCATCAGTGCCTGATCATTATCAGAGAAAATCTAATCTGATCCGAGGCCGGCACGAGCACGGTCAGCTTGCAGCCAATGCAAGCGTCGAGTCTGGCCTCGAGGCGGGCCAGTATGGGTTTCAAATGCATTTCCAAGCCTTTGTTCAGCCGACAAATGCAGGACTAACTAGTCACGGAAACGGTCCTTGCGTGTTGTGGTGGGGAGAATCGAATCATAGCGCGTTGCGACGCGTCTGGCACAGACGGTTTTTTTCGTGAGAGCTCGTGGCTGGGCAACGCGACGGGCGACGTTGGAGGAGATTCTCAACACACAATAGATGAAAAGACGGCGATATGGGTATCGTTGGAATGCGCGCAGCCGATTATATAGCCCATGCAAATTGAGGATAGAATCAATTCCCCTTAGAGCAGAATAGATGTGATGATCCAAGTCGCGCATGGATGAGATCATAGCGTCTTTTCGCGAGCACGGCGCGTTAGTGGCTGGCAGGACGGATCGCCCAGTCACGTGTTAGCGTCGAGACGCGGATTTATAGTGAAGTCGCGTCTGCTCTTTCTCTCAGCACACCACATCCACCACCATCTTCACATCAGCGTTTCCACGAGTATTCTTGACTGCACACTCGTCTCTCTCTACATCATACAACGCTACATCTTAATTCTCACCTCACAATGTCTGCCGTTGAGTCTACGCCTTCCAAGCAGGTACGTTGCGATACATCCGGTACTCATACGCGTTGATACTAACGCGTTAAATAGATTTCATCTGCCATTGACTCACTCAAGATGAACGACTCTCCCGCAAAGAAGCTTGACTTCTCGCCGGCCGAGAAGGAGAACACTTTCAAGCCCATCGTCGGTATCCCAGATGACTTCGAGGACGACCTAGAGGAGGCCAAGCCTACCGTCGCGCCTACGATCAAAGAGGAGGAGGCTATCGAGCCAATCCTCCAAGAGAACCCTGGACGCTTTGTCTTGTTCCCCATCAAGTACCACGATGTAAGTCTTACCCTTTTGATACTTTCACGTGCTTTACGCGTGGCTTGACGCGTCAAACGCGTTTTCATGAACATCCTTGCTAATTATATATCCACTATAGGTCTGGCAGATGTACAAGAAGGCCGAGGCTTCTTTCTGGACCGCAGAGGAGATCGACCTCTCCAAGGACCTTCACGACTGGAACAAGCGTCTCAACGATGACGAGCGCTTCTTCATCTCCCACGTCCTCGCCTTCTTCGCAGCCTCCGATGGCATTGTCAACGAGAACCTTGTTGAGCGATTCTCTAGCGAAGTACAAATCCCCGAGGCACGATGCTTCTACGGTTTCCAAATCATGATGGAGAACGTTCACTCAGAGACGTACTCTCTGCTCATCGACACATACATTAGCGAGCCCAAGCAGCGCAGGTACCTCTTCAACGCCATCGACAACATCCCCTGCATCCGCAAGAAGGCCGACTGGGCCCTGCGATGGATCTCCGACAAGAACTCCACATTCGCCAACCGCCTCGTTGCATTCGCCGCTGTTGAGGGTATCTTCTTCAGCGGTTCTTTCGCCTCCATCTTCTGGCTCAAGAAGCGCGGTCTGATGCCCGGTCTAACATTCTCCAACGAGCTCATCTCCCGTGACGAGGGCATGCACACCGACTTCGCCTGCCTTCTCTTCTCTCTCCTCGAGAACAAGCCCAGCCCAGAGTCTGTCAGAGCTATCATCACTGAAGCCGTCGAGATTGAGCAGGAGTTCTTGAGCGACGCACTACCATGCGCTCTGCTCGGCATGAACGCTACTCTCATGTGCCAATACATCGAGTTCGTCGCTGACCGTCTGCTGTTGGCCCTCGGCAACGTCAAGGTCTACCACGCCACCAACCCCTTCGACTTCATGGAGAACATTTCTCTGGCTGGTAAGACCAACTTCTTCGAGAAGCGCGTCGGCGACTACCAGAAGGCCGGTGTCATGGCCAGCACAAAGAAGCATGAGCAGCAGAAGGAGGGTTCATCGCCCGCACCTGAGCCGCAAGGCCAGTCTGGTGATTTCTGCTTCGATGAAGATTTTTAGATGTTTCGCTTTCACTTCTTTCTCAAATTATCTGCCATTTTGTTTTTGTACAACACGTTGAACGTTTGGGTTTGGCACGGGTGCCGGATGTCTTCGTTCGCATACCCCCTTGCATTGATGAAGTAACCACTCTTCGCATTTTGGAGTCATGGCGTTGCTAGTTAGCTGGGATAGGCCTCTTGGATGAGTGACGCGGTAGGATAGCTACGGCATGCGGCAGCGATGGGATCAACGACCTATATATCATACCACTTTGAATAATCACGAATACACATCTTTCACACATGTCTCTTCTGAAGTTGCCCTTGTGATGGTTCTGCTTGTGCATAACGCGTGCGTGTTCGGTCCGACACGCCACGCGACAGTATGCGCACTTGATCAATCAAGCTCTTCTGAAGCCTATCCACTTCCACCCTAACATGATCTATGTCCTGCAGGAAACATGCACCAGTCCCCAGGATAAATCCCGTGCGCTCGACACCCTCTGCAGATGTTACGCGCCGCCCAGACAAGCAAGGATTGATTTCAGGTACCGCTAGCCATGACGTCAGCAATGCGTGCGGCGTATCCGAGGTTGCCATCTTACGAAATCACGACAAGCGAGCTGGCTACTTGCAGACAGTCGTGCACCTCTTTCAGCTTACACACGCCTGAGTTACTTACCCCGGACCAATTGCGCGATATGGGGAACTTGATAGCACTGTCCCTGCATATACGTCCAGACTTGGTGCGCCAGACAACAAAACGCTAGTTCGTAAACATCCGCGACCCTCCGCAACAAAATCCGACTCTCATCGCCAGAGTGCAGTGTGCACATTACGTGAATACCATCCGAACAAATTCACGGCATATAGATCTGTACAGTCATCGAGCGCTGTCAAGTACGACCAAGGCGGCGACGGGGTAGATCCATGTCGCTTCGTGACATGTCAACATGGCAGACACCCTTCCCAAGATTAAGGTGACAGACCCGTCCGTCGCTGGCAGAGGCGCTTTTCAGATCCAGGAGAATGGATCGTCAACAACAGTAGATGGTATGCCGTACATCACACCTATTGCTTTGTCTCGTCATACCGAAAACCCCCAGGTGCTTACTCCAGGGTTCATAGGCCCGTTATCCAACAAGAAGCTCGTCGCAAAGCTTCGAAGCCCCACCTCACCTTCCGCGCAACCGACCGCCGATTCGCAAAACGGATACGTTGGCGATGGGACAGGACTGTTCGAAACGCCTATAGACCCGCTCTCGCAAGTATGTACAGATAAGGTTCGACATGCGGGGACGGACGCTAATCGCGCATCACCGTATAGCAAATCCTCCAGAGAACGAATACGTCGCCGGCTGTACAGAAGCTACGATCGCAAAACACCGAGCCCCTATCGAGCCAATCGCCGACTTCGCCAAACGATGTAAATGCGGATAAGAAACTAAGCGGAGAGACGCCGCGCGATGCAAGCGGGGGCAAGGCAGACAAAAAGTAGGTCCCTCTGCTCTGCTCTTCGCAAAGAGCATACGGAATGTCACGGGGCTACTAGCCAGGGATTAGCGCGTACCTCGTATTAAGGCCTCCGGACCTGCGTATCGAGGTCATGTATGCGCTTATTCCTCTGGTTGGCCTGAACATACATATCCACATTAGCCTGAGGCGCAGTACAGTACGGCTGACTTCATATCTAGGAAGGTTTCATTTCTTAGTCGCTTCATCGGAGGCAACAAAAAGAAGAGCAGTACCCTCGATGGCGCAAGCGAGAATGGCTCTGAGGCAGATGATCTTCGATTGGAGGGTATGGACGCCCAGCTTTACGTCGACAATTTCAGCTTCAGTCCGAAGATACCTCATCCACCAGCATACATAAAAGTGAGAACGAAGTTCAAGAAGGAGAAGGAATTCGATCGTGTTTTCCTGGCGCAGGAATTACGTTCTGGGTCGGATAAGAAGAGTCCGCCTGCGGCTGGATCAAACCCTGCACCTCAATCTGGGTCGGCAGCTACACAGAACCCTATCTGGGCGGTCGAGTTCAGCAAGGATGGGAGGTATCTTGCTGTCGGTGGGCAAGACAGGGTTATCAGGGTGTGGGCGGTGATCGAGAGCTCAGAAGGACGCCGCGCGCATGAGAACGCTGATAATGGAGAGGCAAAGTACCTGAGCGCACCAGTCTTCCATCAGAAACCCATTCGCGAGTACCAGGGACATACTTCAACTATCTTAGATTTGAGCTGGAGCAAGGCAAGTTGATATTGCTTAATATTTTCATGCATCGACTGACAACCATAGAACAATTTCTTGCTATCCTCGTCCATGGACAAGACGGTCCGTCTATGGCACGTAAGCCGAGATGAAAATCTATGCACATTCAAGCATTCCGATTTTGTTCCTTCTATACAATTCCACCCTACCGATGACCGATTCTTCCTCGCAGGATCCCTTGACGCAAAGTTGCGACTATGGAGCATTCCGGATAAGAGCGTGGCTTTCTCGGTCACTGTGCCGGATATGATTACATCAGTGGCGTTCACACCTGATGGGAAAACATGTATAGCCGGCACCCTCGGGGGCCTTTGCATGTTCTACGACACTGAAGGATTAAAGTGGCAGGCCCAACTTCACGTAAAGTCGACCCGCGGACAGAATGCAAAAGGTAGTAAAATCACTGGAATACAAGCAGCATATTGGCCTCCAGGTAGCGAAAGTGGTGAAATCAAGCTACTGGTTTCGAGCAACGATTCGAGGTTGCGCATTTACAACATGAAGGACAAAACCTTGGAAATGAAGTTCCGTGGTCATGAAAACAACTGCAGTCAGATTCGAGCTACGTTTGCCGATAGTAGTGGGCATATTATATGTGGAAGCGAGGATCGGAAAACATACATCTGGTCGACTACCGCCACGGCTGAAGGCGAGAAAAGGAACCAGCGTCCGGTGGAGATGTTCGAAGCACATAATTCGATCACGACGTGCACTGTCATTGCTCCCGTTCACACTAGGCAATTGCTTAGCGCCTCAGAAGATCCCATCTTCGACCTCTGCAATCCACCACCAGTCACGCTAGTATCGAAAGCTGAATCTGTCATTTCGTCAAGAGCACCCACGGAGGGGGGGTCCACACACCCAACACCTGCGCCTACGGATACCCATTTCAAAAAAGCTGCAGGAAGCCCAGCATATATTGAGCGCTCGGCACATCGAGGTGGCAACATCATTGTTACAGCAGACTACACGGGTGCACTCAAGGTATTCAGACAAGATTGTGCTCACCAAAAACGCATACGAATGAGCGAGCAATGGGACACTGCTTCCATGAAGAGAGCGTCAGGTATTGGACGGCCCAGCAGTATAATCTCCCGAACTAGTCGATCACGGCGAGATAGTGTATCTACACAACCACCAAATGACCGCATTATGACATGGCGACAAGGCATATCACACGGTAGTCTAGACTCGACTAACTCCCTTCCTCGTCGCAGCGCCTCACCCCGAAAGTCGCTAGCCGCCATGAGCTTTCACTCAACACCACACGAGTCTCCTGTCCTTCAACCTACCAAAACCAACGACACCTTCGACACCAAGCCTACTGGTACACCAAAAACATCCGTATCTATAGACCGTACTACCACATCTCTACGAAGCACTTCATACTCTGAAGCCTCGTCCCCTCTCAAGGAACCACCGACTGCTGCAGCAGATGACGGGGCAGCCCAGCGTTCTCGTAACCCTCTCGCCGTGTACAACGGTCAAAGCTGGCTTTTCTGGACAAGTCGCGATAAGAGTGCATTGACAGCTGGGAATGCGAGAGACGAGGAGAGACCAGAGCTGCTTGGTCGTATGAGCACGATTAGTCAGATTAGTAGGCTGACAGATGAGCGGAGTGATGAAGGAAGGGAAAATGGCACTTGATACACTGATAGAAATTTCACTTCAAACGGGACAAGATTTTCAAGATTTTCAAGGGCTTCTCTGTCAGTATTGAAGATTATCACACTTGGATGATGTCTCTGGAATCATCTTTCTTTTCACTCTTGCCAATAGTTACGAAATGAATTAATTGAACTCTACACTGTAGTACAGAATTAAACAACTACAGGTTTTTCTTTTCTGCGACAACGTTCGTGGTGCTTGCAACGGATGATCGTACTATTGTCTTGTAGCGATATCAGAAAACACCTCTAAGAGATCCGGTACATCTGTGACTACAGGGACATCGGTGGGAATAACGAGCTGACGCTTCACGTAAGTACCCGTTTCAAGGACGGGATCCCAGTCTGAGAAGGTCTCTGGAGCTACAACAGCGGAAGTGAAATCAGAAGAGAAGGCAGACGCGGCGGGAGTGGTGTATGTGGTAGTCTCCTTGACGGGGTCCCAGTCGCTGAATGACTTGGGGGCGATGACAGGGTTAGTAAAGGACTTGGAGGAAGGATGCGTTGCCCAGACGATTTGGGACCGTGTACGGGTCGCCAGGGTAGTCGCTGTTTGGCCTGCCAGATCGCTGAGGGTGCTGGAGGGGACAATGTAGGTCGCAACGGCTGGTTCCAGGCTGAAGACGACAGAAGCGGAGTCATTACCGAGAAGACAGGCAGAGAAGTCATCAGTGATATCGCGGATACTATTGTTGACGAGTTAGTATTGCTGAGCGTGCAAAGTAATTGGATTGAAGGCTGGAAAGCTCACCCGTAAGAATCAGTTGAGGAGATGGAGATGTTGGAGCTACCACGTTGCTGACCAATGTTGGTAGCGTACCTGCAGTGCCATTAGGGATATCAATGTGTTTAGTGTGATCGGAATTAGCTTACTGTGTTGGCCAGTATTTGGTGAACAAGGCACAGTGCTGGTCGGTAGGGACGTTGTTTCGACGCTGCATGTACGTATTGGCGAAGCGGCATTGGCGGCCCGAAGCATCGTGGGTCTCCTTGCATATATCCATGCATCTTTGAGCGTCGAAGTGACCATCGGACCAGTGTTTCAGTCCCATATAAGTGTCCTCACCGTTGCAGTCGAGGGGTGTTTCGATAGCAGCGCCCATGCCATATTTCTCGATTGTGTAGTCATCAGAGACCGAGGGTGTGGTGCCATTGATGTCCTTGACATAGGCGTTAGAGCCGGCCATAACCACGTGGAACTGCTCACGGAGCTGCCCGTGGTTGATTGCGATGTCGGGCAGGATGGTGCCGGATCACAAATCACACTCTACAAAGAAAGGGAAGACAGCATCAGTGCATGTTTCACATTACCTTCGTACATGGACACTTACTGATGATGGTTGTAGAAGGGGGATTTGGGCACAGTTCGGGTGCAGGCGAAACGACAGGCTGACGCTCGAAGAAGATGGTGAAGGCGTTGCAGTTGTCATCGCTATTGCAAGCATGAGCACCTAAAGACAGTTAGTAAGACCGTTCAAGGGAGATACTGCTTGTCGATATGATGAGCTTCGACCCGAAGTGCTACTTACACTGTTCGACGTTGTACTCGTCCATCGATATGTAATGAACGAACTGTGATGCCGTGTCGTACGTAGTGAGCAGGTTGGCGTACGATTGAATATAACCAGCAGGCGTAGTGGCGGACAATGCAGCGCCAGCGAAAGGAGCATAGGCTTGAAAAGCTTCTGGGGTGTCAGGCAAGATTGGGGTACCATGTCCCAGGGGAAGAGAGTCGCAAAACGACCGGACAGGAGAGCGACTCGGGGCAAGGGCTGAGCCAAAGGCTGCGAGGTGTGAAAACACCATCACAAGTTCGATGAAAATATAAAGGAACAACATCTCGTCTTGTCTCGATACGAGATGTATCAGTGTTGAACTAGCGTGGGCGATGAAGGATGTTGAATGAAGAGAGATGTAGCATAATTTTATATGTTTGGAAGGAGAGGTAGGGGGAACTGTTAGGGGTCGGGAAGTGGTACCAGACCAACGCCATTGTGCTCCATTACCAGTGCCATTCTGCGCCGTCCCCACTTAGTACGTACTGCAAAGTTGCGATGCTCCCTCGGAAGGAACAAGAGAGATCAGTGCTGTACCCTCATTATTCTGAATCCACAAACTTTTGAGCTCTAACCCTCTGTCGAGCGACAAAGAACAACGTTTTGTGGATGGGAACAAGTGGATCCTTGAACGACTGTGGTCTCCATGGCTCAAACTGGATCTTACTCAACGCTCGAGACGGGGGATCGTATACCCTCCAGAGACCCTAAGTGGATCTAGATGCCCAGAACCATTGCTATCGAGACTTTCGTTCAATTGTTTACGATGTTACTCGACGATTGAAGGCGTACATGGCTCGGAGTGAGCTGCAAATGTGGTAACAGCTTCTGACTTAACCTAGTGGAGGCCATGTACGTGTCACGTTAGCTCATATAAATCAAACAAAAGAGCTGATGAGTTCCTTCGACACCACAAATACCGTGGAGACACGCGAAAACCACTCAAGGTCTTGAGCCAAGGTTTGCAAGCTAGCGATACGAGCGGGGTTCAATGTCGTCACTCAGCTTGAGAAGCAACCAAAGCGACAAGCCGAAGCATGTTTTGTGGCATTTCAAGATACCTGACCCATAATGGATGATTGTGGTAGACGAGAAAGCAAGAAGCCAGTCACTCACCAAGCGAAAGGTAACCGCTGTTGCTAGTGCCAGACCCGCCCAAAACGTCATAGTCTCAACCGACCAAACCATCCAACATAGTACTCGCCAGTAACATTGAGGTCAACAATACTCTTTCAGTCACTTGATCATTTCCTCCATCCCTTATTACAAGAGTTTCCGCTCCTTGAGCCAGACTATTAGAAATACGTACGTGGCCACAAAGTCATGGGTCGCACCGAAAAATCGCAGGGTTTAGCGCCACCCGCCATCCGCAAGGATATTCGAGCCAAACAGGCGCGGCATATCGTCAACAAAGTTGTCCCGGCAATCTTGACGTCAAATGCAAGAGCCAGGAGAGGTGCGGACGGAAGTGAGCTTATTACAAACCCTGGACCGATTGGAACAGTGGGGCAGGAGAGAGGGAGTAGGGACAGTACACGTGTTGAGGCTGGCGAAGAGACGGAATATGTAAAGAGGAAGGGGCAAGGAAGAAGAAAGGCCAAAGGCGCGAGGCTTGAAGAAGAAGAGGCGGATAGCAGGAATGGTGAAAAGAGTGGTGATATGGGGAAGGATGCTGGTAAAGGTAAGGGAAAAGCAAAAGGCAAGAAACAGAATGATGCTCTCAAGGAAGAAATTTCATACCTCAACTCGAAGACAGCTGTCACGCCACCACCTGTTTTGCCGAGCAAACAACGCAGTATACGAATCGTAGCCACAGATAGCCTTACAGCTGCACATATGCTTTCTCACCCATCTCTGTACAACGAATCCGCCACTTCCGCGCCGAAACAGCTGTCCAAGAAACAACCAAATACATGTATCCTAAACATGGCCTCTCCCCTCCGCCCAGGTGGCGGCCTCCTAACGGGCGCCACCTCAGCCGAAGAATCCCTTTGCGCGCGTACAACACTACTCCCTTCACTCAAGGAATCATTCTACCGCCTTCCAGAATATGGTGGCATCTACACACACGACGTACTTGTGTTTCGATCTGCCCTTCCGCTCGGCGACAACGCCGGTGAGCTGCCTCCCACCGAGCGCTGGTACGTTGACGTTATCAGCGCGGGAATGCTGCGCTTCCCCGAACTAGAGGGGGAAGAAGATGAAGAGAAGAGGTTAAGTAAGAAGGACAGAGAGGTTGTTGAAGCGAAGATACGAGGTGTTCTGAGGATAGCGGAACAGAAGGAAGTGAAAGGGTTGGTGCTCGGAGCTTGGGGCATTGGAGCCTATGGGAATCCAGTAAAAGATATCGCAAAGGCTTTTGCAAAGGTTATGGGTGTTGGTTCTTCGTCGTCAGCGTCCACCGGAAAGAAGAATAGCAAGTCGTCATCGGTGGGTATCGAGACATTTCCGGCTATTGAACACATCATCTTTGCGATTCCCAATCGTAAAATTGCTAGCAATTTTGCTGCAGCGTTTGGTGGCAGCATTCAGGTCGAAGACGGCCCCGGCGCTTCGAGCAGCGATGACGACGACGAGGACGGCGAGGAAGATGAAGTGGCAGAGGAACTTAGAAACAAGATACAAGAGATGGAAGGTCAAATCAGTAAGGTTTGGAACCCAGACCTGAAGGCGAGGCTGAGCTCTATACTGGAAGGCCTGAAAGCGCAATTGAGAGAAAGAGAAGGCACACCCGGAATGAGTAGTATTGATGGTGATGACGAGGACGAAGAAGGGGAAGTTGAAGGGAGCGAGGAAGAGGGAGAAGGCGATGACACAGAAGACGAAATCCGCTCGTATGGGAGTAATGAGATTGGCTGTTACCACCCGAACCCTCACGACTGGTAATAAGAACCAGTATACTGCTAGTAAGAATATATTGATGGGTATCTCAAAATTTCTATCTTCTAAAACTCTCTTTTATACGGCAAGATTCAATGCTTCGACGCTCAAGCGGTTGCACTGGAAGCAGCCGGTTCTTCTGAAGAAAGCTCTGCTGGCTTTGGCTTGTTGGAGCTGTTCTTTTGTGCCTCTGTATTCGGTTCGTCCTCCAAACCTAGTTTTTCCAGGTCCACAGCCAAGGGATCAGACTCTTCTGTACTTTCAGTAGGCCCTTCATATCCTGGTGGTGGTAACGCCCAGTCGGGCAGGCCAGTCTCATAGTCCCACTTCCCTTCCTCACACCTGTATCTCCGCGCATGCAGGTAAATACCCAATTCATGTGTACCTGGGTCGCTGTACAGATCGGTGTCGCATACCTTGCACTTTTCCCCTGTCATGCGTTCCGCTTTCTTCTTGTTGTAGGCATTGACCATCTCATCGTGATATGCGACGGCATCGGCGACTTCCTCTTTGCCCATGCGTGAGAGGCGGGACATGATATCTTCATCGTCCTCGTCTTCAGATTGACCGCGGCCGAGGGCTGGGCCAAAGACGCGCTGGTTGGCGTATATGGGGTCGTTTGATATGGGATGGCCGAGGAATTGGAGGTGGACGCGCAGTTGGTGGGTGCGGCCTGTTACTGGCATGCAACGCACAATGGAATAGCCGCGGAGCTTCTTCCACGGCTGGCCATCGGGACCTGCATCTCCTTGTTCCGTTTGATTTGCATTTCCGTCATCCTTTGGTGGGTAGTATGCCAGCCTCTTGAAGACCGTCTTTGCCTCCTTGCCATTCGCACGCACGCGGTTCAGGCCCAGCTTGGGGCTGATCTGTAAGATGGGCTTCTCACAGAGGATCTCTCCTTCTGGGAATTCGCCCACAACTCGCGTGATGTACTCCTTCTTGACCGTCCTGCCTCTTATCTGTGCACTCAGTTCCTCTGCCGCCTGCTTGTGCTTGCCGATGAACATGATGCCACTAGTCAACCTGTCGAGCCGGTTGCATGGCAATGGATTCCAGCCATAGCCACGATCTGCCCTCATAATCTCGATGATGGAGTTGAAGTTGTATCGACCAGCAGGATGCACGGGCATGCCCGCAGGCTTGTTGATGACAATCATGTTGTCATCCTCGTGGACGATACCGATGGGCTGCGCGGTACACGGGGGCTCGTGGCGGTGGAGAGTGTGGGATATGACGTCGCCGTTCTTGACTATTGTTTTGATGCTCGGCACAGGCTGGCCATTGAGGACAACGCGGCCCTCTTCTATGGCTTTCTGGTAGTACTCGGCGGGCCGGTCGCGAAACTCGCTAGAGAAGATGTCGAGAATTTCCCTTCCCCGCCATCGTTCCTTGCAGAAGGTGTTGTATGTGAAGTGGTAGGGCGTCACCTTGCGCAGGCCATCTTCGAGGTAGTATGGCGGTGGCCAGGGGGCGCAGGGCGTGATTGCGACGGCTGGAGGCTCTTTCCAGGGAAATTTGTCGTCGGGCAAGGGCGGGGATTTGTCGCGCGGGGGTGAAGGCACTAGGGCCATGGAGGGGGAGCCTGTGCGTGTCTTGGGCACAGGCAAGCGTCCCTTGGAGGCGAGGTATGCGAGGATGCGCGGAGAGGGCGCCAGAATCGCGGGGCCGAGGGGTCGGGGGGTTGAGGGTGCGTGTGGGAGAAATGTTGCACAAGCCGAGGCAGACGTGGGATGCAGGGAACCTAGCCCGCCATGTTGCCCATGTTGAGAGACGCGTCTTCCCTCGACGTCGACGGCAACAGAATTACGCCATGGCACTACAGGCATTGAAATCGCGTCGACGAAGCGACTACAGCTTCCAGCTCGAGTATAGGACGAGATGGTGCGTCTCCTGCCTCTGCGCCCTGTTCAGTACTAACAACAGGAAGGAGCGACAATGACATGTACCATCACATGAACAACAGCGTCTACTACTATCTGTATATATATATATATATATATCTCCTGTCTACGCTACATTTCCTAATGACAACTAGGTTTGACTCGGTTGTCAACACGTACCTCATCCAACACTGCTCACTGCACCCACCTACCTCGCCACAGATCGGCCTCGTTGTACATTCGCATTGTGATTACCTCGCCCCAGTCGGGTTTCCCGCCGTCGTAGACCTCGCACTACGAGTCAACAAGCTTGGCAAGAGTTCCGTAACATACGAAATCGCCGTCTTTGAGAAGGGCCAGGACGAGGTCAAGGCCGTTGGCGAGTTTATCCACGTCTTCGTCGACCGTGAAAGCCGCCGACCTGGAAAAGATGGCATGAGTCAGGAGCTGAAGTCTGGTCTGGAAAAACTGTTGACGGACAAGTCGAAGCTGTGAGATACGATCACGACTCCAACGTCACCGGTGGTGGCGCAATACAACATCGGCCAACTGGGTATGATAGCTGTCTAAGACATTTGGCTAAGCCACAGGAATGGGCAAAACCGGCCCTGCGTCTGATCAGTCATGTTCATCATGGCCCTTAGCGTTATCTGCTGCCGAGAATTACATTCGCTTCGAGGCATCTGGAAGCGTATGAGTTCTTTGCCCATCATGGCGTATACGTCGCGATAATCATTCTTGGAGTAGTCACATCAGAAGCTTCTCGGGAGAATTGCATAAGAGCAATTTTCTGCTTTATGAGCGACAAGATGGACCAGTCTTTTGACTGTATAGGAATCTTGCTGGGGGCAACGAGTGTGAAGGGACAAACTCGGCAGCCTTTATACACCATATTACCTACTAGCTTAGCAAACGTCAAGACACGATATCGCGATCCGCAGTGCAGGATTAATTCGACGATAGCGAACGGAGACAGGCGGGGTAACGCTTAGGTACAGTCCGGCAATACATTTCCGATACTGCACGTCCCTGACTGTTTTCTTTCCATTTGACCTTCCCAACGTTGGTATAACATTGTATACCAAGCTTCTTCACCTCCTTCATACTCAAGACCAACTTGTTCTGTCTATTCTTCCACGACTTCGTGCCACTTTTCAACGCGCCATCTTGAACACTCGGCCGCTTCCCCTCATATTCCTATATCCTCACTATCCTATATCCATCCAAATACCGCAATATGTCCACTTCCACGATCCATGGCCCAGGCATACTGTTTGTCCGCTCCCGCATCTCTCCCTCGGCCAATGACCTGCTCACCGAACCTGTGTTCCTAGCCTGGTACGATGACGAGCATATCCCAGAAGTGGTTTCTACATCTAGCATCCATTCTGCAATGCGCTACGTCGATGTTCACAAATCTTCTCCCATTGGCGATTCACAGAATCCGAAGCCTTTCTTAGCCTGCTACCCCATGGAGGATCTGGCTTTCACGTTGGGTGACGAGTTCAAAAAGATTGGCTTCAGGAGTAGTAAGCTTCCGGGCAGTGGTGTCATTTATGATTTGGCAGATATGGATGTCAGTTACCTGGGTTTTATGGGGGCAACGAAGAGAACAAGAGAGTTTACAGGTGGTGAACAAAAATTTATCATCACATTAGGAGTTAGACCAGAGAAGAAGATAGCAGAAGGAGAAGCCACCGAATTCTTTCAAAAGGTATGCATCACCAACGTTACTTCTGGTTGACATATTTGGCACATGCTTGTATTGAAATTGATAATTCGATAGCAAACACGTATCATCGAACAAACATCACAGTACATACGCTCGGTGCGCTTCAAACTTCTCTACGCGAGGACTAATGCTCAGTCTCGTGCTCTAAAGGGGTTACCGACCACGGATGAGCCACATCCTGAGCCTTCCACTTGGCTCGCTATGCACGAGTTCGCAGAGTTGCCTGGTGAAGAGTTAATCAAGACGTTGAACGGTAGTGCGAAGAAGGCTGCTGAAGAGGAGGAATGGGGCGCAACGGAAATCGAGATGCTTGTTTGGAGACTGGATCGTGCGCATGGAGACGAAAAGTTCTTCGATGAGTGAGGTCATGCTTGCTGGACAATCATCGTATACTACGCCTGATGGCTGTTTCAAAATCGCCGAATGACTTGTAGGTAATGTTATATACATACTCCATTCTTCTTCATCTCTCTCACAACAGCTCCAAATCCTGCTCAATGCTCATGTCCATGTTCATGCCCTTCTCCCTCCTTCTCATCCCATGGATGTCCCTGTCCAACGCCCTCCCAGGGATCACCCTCCCAGGTCATCCAAGTACTATGTCCCCTAACGTTCTCCGCCAACTCCCCACACCTCCTCTGTTCCCAACTCTCCTTGCCTGCCACAACAGCCCAATGTTTCTGCGCCCTCTCCGCCCAGTATCTCGCCCGATCTTCAATTCCGAAGCTACTCCATGTATATGCAAGAATTTCTTCATACTGTGGTAGCTCAGCGAAGAGTTCTTCTTGTTCCAGTTGCTCGATGAGTTTGGGGAGGAGGCCGAGGAGCTGCGGCGAGTCCTTCTCGTCAGTGGGGAGAACAGATTTCAAGGCTTTGATCTCGGAGAGGCGGTCGTTGGATTCCATCACTCCATCGTCATCTGCGGTGCATAGGGGGCAGGCGCACTGGAAGCCAAAGTTAGCCATCAGGGTCTTGACGCGGCGCCTGCGGGGACGTTTTTCGTAGCCATCTGCCATAGAATTAGTGACTACTTTGCTGATTGTGTAATTGGTGGTGACTTACAGCTTCGTGTGATCTCTTCACCGGGCTTGATGTCTCTGAGAGCGAAGACTTCGAATGAGAGGGTGTAATCGTCGAAGCGCCACAAGGTGTTTGGCCGGCACGCGTGATTGATACGCTGCGCTGGGGTTAGAGAGAACACTAATAGACAAATTATCGGTCATGACTTACAGCGGCCTCGGGAATGACTGCCAACAGCTCTGGAAGCTCATCAACCCACGGCCATTTTACACCAATGCCGTTTGTCAGAACAATGTCCTCGACGCTGCCATCTATGTTGACATCCAACGCCTTGACCATCTCCCTTGTTTCTGCCGGCAACTGCTCGACTGCTTGCTTTAATACGTGCTGTGGTCTGTCCTTGGTTTCTGCCAGCGGCCTAGCAACAAACAGCACTGGTGTCTGCACAATCAGACTCTCGCCTGGGAAAATTCCAGCGATATCCTTCTTCGCGAACAACCCTTTTCCTTTCTCGCCCGCATATTTGACTTCCCACATGCCCATATTTTCACCAACCACGCCCTCCATGCCACCAATACTCATACCAAATGTCTCCATTGTAACACTAGCCGCGACCTCTGGAGTTACTACGAGGCTGACTCCGCGACCGTTATTGTAATCGGCATTAGTGTACGTGCAGAACGTTTGAGGACCCTTTGCTCCCACGGCTTCATTTCCCTCATTTGGCATCACGACGTCAACACACGTAGGATTATGTGTCCATGGAAATGTGTCAGTCGTGGCGCCATCCTGTGCGACCGGACATATTGATGCAGGTTTGTTGATGAGTCCGTCTTGGATCGCCGGACTGCGCGCTGTGTAGAATAATTCCGCTCTAGCATTTGAAGCGCATAGAAGTGTAGAAAGGGCAACATAAGCAGGTAGATGCCGTCGCCGCGGCCATATTGCTGTAACCATCTTCCAAGCTCTTGATCTTATTGTTCCTTCTCCTCGAATGATGGACGGTGCCGAATAAAAGGAAAGTATCGAGGAAGCCAGACTTTCAACATCTTCAACGTCGGAGGAATTACTCGCGCGAAATTGGAAGCCACGTTTCACGATGGAAGGATCTCCGAAACCCCTGCTGCTGAAACATGCTGGGTGCTTGGCAGATGCATTGCGCCTGCATCTAGATTGTCTTGGAGATGCACGGAAGCCAGTGAGGTTTGGGGCTGTTACTGTTATTTGATGAATCGATGAGCCGGAAGAATGGTTGATGTGGGGAAGGCTAGCTTCGGGGCCGGTTGAATGGCGCGCGTGGGACGTGAGAACATCGTCTTCGCAGTCTGTCTGACAACACAACTTGCGTGTTGCACGAGTCGATAGTGCGATGCGTAGAAGTGACGCTTTGACACAATGGCCGTCTTCATTGTCCGCCTTAGGAGAAGCTCCATGCTTGTGTGTTGAGAGACGGTGGCCTCGGGGGGCGAGGGCAGATCAACGCAATACCACCTTGGTTGCACCTCTCTTCATTACCTAGGTCAAACAGAGAAAAGACGATTAGCACTCTATCTTCTCCAAAATCAGATGTTTTACTTCATGACTGAGCACATCCAGAATGACGTGAATAAGAATTGGCAGCAAGGTTCGGGGCAGAATGTATTCAATACACATATTCGGTAGTATTGTACCTTGGATACTTCCCAACACGTGCCTCTTAGTCATTCTAAACAATCTTCAGCCAGCTCGGCTCCTCCTGCTCAAATGATTTGAAGCCCGGAGCAGGAATATTGTCAAACAGACCACCCTTCAAGAACATTTTTGGCGAGTCGTCACCCACTAAAGATGCAATGGGGCTATCGTTTTGTTAGCAATGCTCTCCTGATGCGATATGCACAAGCAACTCACCACCCGCAGTTGCCGCAAAATTGTCGAGTAATCGAATTCCCACTCTTTGTGTCGCTGTCCTTGTAATTCTTAAGATTGTTGCTCGAGTCATTGACTGTGACCTCAGATTTGTCGAACATGTAGATAATGGATCCAGCGCATGATCCGGCACGCCGGCAGTTGGCACTTGAAGAGTTAGTCCGAGACTACGCGCGGAGACTGGAACAATGACGCCTACCAGTAGCAGATAGCGGATTGCTCTGGTAAAGCAGGAATGGAAACCTTGATGCTTCCGCAGTTGCAACGTCCCTCAGTCATCCTGAATGAGTAAAATATGGATTTAGGGTTGTGGATAGTTTGCTTCAGGGTTCTACTTCCTCAGGCTTCCGGTTGAGAAATAAGCGTTCAGCAAGGTGCGGTATCTTACTTGAATGAGAGGCCGCCGAGGGGAGCTTTAAATGAGGAGAACCCATGTAGCTTACACTGCCCGCAATAGTAAACTGCTCTGCATTTATGACGCGTGTTGTACACAGTGGGGTTTGTGGAGACAGCGGACTAGCATTAAAGAACCTCGGCAAACTAATCATACGAGTTGATTCGAGAAGTCGCGTCGTGGGATTGACCATCGCTATCCGGCACCTCGTCGTCTCTCGAACGATGTTCTGCACTGAGAGACTTTGAACGCGTTGACGATACCCGCGACGAGGCTGGCTTTTAACGGCGGATGACCTTTTGAGGTATACGATATCCTGTGGAACTCCACTAGTATTCTTACACAGCCAGTCCAGCAAAAGAGGCTTCCACGTGCCATGATTCGTAGTGATTAGTCTTGAAAAGGGTTGAGATTCGGTCCGCGCAATGAGCTGTCACTAGTCATCCGCAGTGGCCGTACGAGGTTGTGGGATATATGGCGGCCTATCCATAGCCCAACATTCTGCTCTAGGAAATGTAGAGACTAGCAACAGTCAGCGAGGCGCAGAGATCAGGGAGTATGGAAGAGATGAAGTGAGGTTGAAAAAGCAGATGTCTAATCCCCAAGGGCATCCGCATCAGGCTAGCACGCCATTCAGTCCTAACGCGGCGCCATTCCGCGTTCACGCTCTCAAACATCAACCACAATGACACAACAACACAAACACAAAGCCTGACACCAATACTACGCACGCATTATCAAACTGCACAGTACCCTAAAATGGTAGCTGAGCATCTGCGCACCTTGCAATCAGCATTCCGACTAACTGGCCGCAGACGCGCGATTCTACGGCAACCTACCTGCACATGCACTCGTCGCACCACGCCGACCTCCTCGAGCAGTTCACGAATCTCACCTCCTCGCAACTCACGCCCGAAGATATTTACGTTCCCCCACACCTACAACCTGTAAACCCTGAGGACGAGGACGACGTTGTACCAGACCAGCACGCGGCATTCGGCATACAGCGAGCAACACAGACGAAGAAGGAGCCAACATGGCGCGACTTGGGGCTCGAAGAACTGTTGCGACGGGGACCCATGGGTATTGGAAGCGGGAGTGCAAGCGGAAGTGCGGTCGCAGCTGGTGGTAGTGGGATTGTTGGACAGGGAAGAGAAGAGCCAGTTAGACTGGCGCTGGCGAGGCAGCCGGGTGCGAGGATGGGTGTTAGAGTAGGCAACGGGAGCAGTGAGAGCTCTAGAAGTGGCGGAAGCGGTGCTGCTGGGAATGGACTGCCGCGATGAGGGGAAACAGCGTACCGGATTCGGACGTTGATATCAGCGCAGGACTTTGCATCTGCTTGGGAACATGGGACACGCGCAGTGAATCCTGTGGTGTCCGTGATTTAGCTAGAGCTGTCAGGCTGATCTGTGATAGCCGTTGACATCTGGACGATTGCGCTAGCTTCACAGCCTACAACGATCGCTCTTCCACGCTACGTTGATTGGCATCTGTACGCGCACATCCAATACCGCGGGTGCTTTTGCCATGCTGTTACGCGCAGAAGACCCTAGTGCGGAACAGGCGCGGTACCAAGACTCGTTGGCGTAGAGACTCGAGATTCATATAGTGCCGGGATTCAAAATGTAAAGCAATTTGCTAATGGTCTGGAGCACTTGTAACTACAAGAACTATCATCACGTGTTACTATCAAGAATTTTGTATATGGTGGTTGAAGCCGACAAAGGATCGATGCGAGCATGTCGTTTCTCTGTACACAGTGAAAGCCTCTTCAGGTCGGTGGTTGCAGCTCTGTGGTCTATTGGCATTGTCCACAAATACCATTGTCAGACTCCCTCTAATCTGTCCGGCATCCCCGAACACCCTCCTCCACTCCTACTGCACTAATGCCCATCTGCCCTATGCGCAGGAACATCAGTCCTCGTGCGCGGTAGTAGTAGTACGCTTGTCACACGAACACGGCCTTAATCATGCACTTAACATACGCACACCAACGCCTCTCTCTGGCTTACACCTCCGTAAGCCACAGGCATCTCTTCCTGAACGAGCTTGCATATCAACGTCCGTACTGGGCCCTCTCACTTGTTACATCGACCGTGTTCGTCACCCATGCTGCTCTCGAGATCTTATACAGTCGCAGAAGAACTAGTACATCCTCAAAGCATCCTCGTACTTAGCAAGTGGTGTGTCGAAGCGCGCGACAGCCTTAACATCGGTGAGCCGCGGCTCTGCGGTTATGAGACCAATCGGGTTATGTCGCTTCATATATGCAACATCTTTGAGTAGATCATCGTCTGTGTTCTCTGTGCAGAGAGAAATGGAATCTCGATGGGTCTACGACACATAGTACAGGGACATGCTGTCGTCCGCTTGAACCCTGCGCTCAAGCAAGAGATGCAAAACACATGCCCACATGGTGTTCGAACGGCTTCGAAAGTCTGCTCGTCAAAGGTCGTCCCATATGCGCCGGGTAGTTGGCTAAGGGAATCTAGATGAGTCTCCATGCCTGAGCCGGCGCTTTGATATTCTTGACGACAGACAAAGCACATCGGTTCGTCTTTTAGCGCTTCCGTAGGTGTAGCGACGTTGAGAACGCGTTCCACAATATCTTGGTAGAGGTCAGGGATTGAGCCTATTTTTGACTGAACTTTGTAGATATACGATCGATGTAGTAGATATACTGTGTATATCGATGTTAGACGGCAGCCATAACCTGCCGCTCAGTCATCTGTCAAGTCGATACACTCAACGCCCACGGGTACATGATAATCAGCTGCCGGTCGTTTGTTTGTCATTGGAGCAAGCGGTAGAAGAGGTTGATCGTTTGTGTTCTGCAGGGGACGAGGAGACGACGTCTCGAAGTGGCGAAGCCGAGCAGCGCGGATCTCGTTGGCAGAAGGTGTCGTGATTGCTTGGACATGGTCTTTGATGCCAGATCCGGAAGACGACGTCGCAGGCTTTGGTAGATGAGCAGCAGGCGGCAGAGAACGTGACCAATTGGGTAAATCAACTGGTCCTCTTCCTATAAGACCTGCGTGGACACCCCTTGTTGCCGTTCGTGAAACGTCTGGTGGAGTGCTTTCTAATTGTCTATGGAGAGTTTGAGCAGCTCTAGATGGTAGAGCGTCGCTGTTTGTTTGGTCGAGCGACCAGGCCGGAACAGAGGTGCCTAACACATCCCTACCTGCTTCCCTCATGGCGAAAATGCTTTCATACTTACCCCGACTGGAAGATGGGAATCCAGAAGGACTCTTTGTTGGATGGATCATAACGCCTTGGTCTTGCATACTTAGGCGCAAAGCCAGCTGTAGCTCTTCATCTTCTTCGTCTGAGATATCCAACGGCTGTGCGTTTTCTATATGAGCTCGATGTGTATTGGAGACGGACATATTGCTCTCTTGACCTGGTGGCTCGGGTGAATCAAGATCAACGATATGAGACACATGCACTTGATTCAGTGCAAGTTCTTGAGGGCGAGGTTTGGCTGGTAGGGAGAGTCCATCTTCATCATCAGATTCGGACAGTTCGATGCAGTCGAGAATCTTTTGCGCTGTCGGCGTCAGGGACATATTGCGAGACCTGGCAATAGAGGTTGGTTCTTTTAACTTCTTCGGTGATGCACTGCGTGGGGCTCTAGCGGCGGAAATATCGTCCCTTTTGTTCTGGCGTTTCCGCTTAGCTGTGCTTGACACCCCGGATTCTTCCTCGGTGTCATCTGTCGGTCGCTTACGTTTAGACGTAGGCTTTTGTGCTCGAGATGGCGGATCTAGTATGTCTGCTGGAAGGACTTTACGCAGCCAGTACTCCGGAAACTCACATTCCACACGATAATCTGGGTCGAATAACGTCTCCTTATCTCCATTCCAATGACCCAATTGAGCGCCTTCAAAATCGGCTTGGCCCAGAGAAGTGACACCAAAAGGGGAAAAGGTCAGCTTGCATTCGAAAGTACGCATTGGTGGCTCATCATCAGTCTTCTTCACTCGTTGTTTCGGGAATTTGATGTGATGAATTGGCTCAAGAGGTAAAGATGGATCTCTCGTGGTCAGGCTTCGTGTCAACAGCACAGGTCCGACCCAATTCATGTACAGACGTCCCCATATGTTGAAGCGCTGGCTAGTGAGTGTGAGCAACTTCAGTTCCTGGATCGGACGAACGCAGTCAAGGCTGAGCCGTGACTTGCTGAGCAGATCTTCGTCGCTTGTGACCTTGGGGTTGTAGTACTTCTGCAAGGTTCTGAAATCCGGAAAGCCTAGTGGGATGTCGATGCTGCGCCCGCGAGCAGTTTTCTCAAGGAACATGGCCAACTCTACAGCCCAAAGACCGCACTCCATCTGATCTCGACATGCAACCAGTCGTTGGCCAAGCCCTTGCTTGACCGCCTGCAGAGCCAAAGACGGCCCACACTGGGGTAAACCTTTCACGTCGTAATCGCCGCCGACGAGCATTGCAAATAGCACTAGTCCATCTCGGTCTAGGCCATACTTCTCCTTCAAGTCGGATGCTCGTACAACGTTGGCATATTTTCCATTCTTCTTGGTGTTCTCCTTGGACCTGTCCGTGATGCCCTTTTCTTTCGCGATGCGATGGTCGCGTAGCCAGAGAGTGCAGCCAAACATGATGCAGTCGGAGTCTTGTGACCAAACAGCGTCAACCAGGCTCAGAATCTGCAGACGAGCGCACTCTGCCTCTGCCTCTCCTGGCGCTTCATGGTATGGGATCCCAAAGTATTGAAGCATCTCCTTGAGCAGACGCTGCTCTTCGAAGTTGATCCGCCCTCCTCCTCTTTTGCCTCGCTTCCAGGGTCGACCGGGGCCATCGAAGACGAATATGAGCTGGATATTCAGGGTGAGAAGGCGGCAGATACGGTAGAACATGGCTTTCTCGATGCCTTGGAAAGCATACTCATTGGAGGCTAGCCGTGTCAGCGAGGGAAAAAATGCTGCGTGTACTACTCACTCTCCCGTATGGTATACACTTGCTGCACCGTGAGGTTGTTGAAGCGCCAATCGGCCTCGTCGACAGCAATGCGGAGTGGCCTGCCATGACGCCGGTGGTGCTCTTCGGCAAGCTGCGCAACCGGTACGCTCTCTTCGTGCTTCTTGATCGTATCCCACAAGCTATGTTGATATCAGTAGAGACTCAGGTCTGATGGGGTCTAGACACGTACGCTGTGAGACCCATGACGTGGGTGTGGGGAAGACGAGGCTCGAACAGTCGGCCGTTGCACGCGTCTTAGCGCGATTGGCGTGACCGCGGGAAGGGGGTTGGCCAACGGCTGGAAATAGAAGAAAGAGGACTGTGTCATATGGCAAGTCGCAACTAATGTGTTTTGCTAGCCCGGTCGCAACAGCAGTAGAGGTAACATGGTACGCTGCAATTGACCGTCGCACAATCTCCTATCGCTTCTTCCGAATTCTGACGAACGCGAAAACACGTGGTTTGCATCTGCAGTCCGAGCGCCTTACCCATCTCAGTACTCACTTATTTTTTTTTTGGCAGTAGTCCGCCAGTCTTTTCACTTCACGTCGTCACATCGCGCGTCATGTCACAGAAGTAGTACATTGTGGCTGGCTATAGTTCACAGTCCACCTCAAACGCCCCTTCCAAATCATGCCACAGTTCACTCTCTAAGAAGACGCTCATATCGCTAACCCTATGCTGCGCACTTTTTCGTCGCTGCTTCAACGCCTCTCCCAAAATATTCGCCGCCGAAAGAGCCATGTCAGATTTTCTGCCCAAAAACCATAACGCCTTGATACAAGCATCAGCTCGTTGGAAAGCATCCTCACGATCCAGGTCAGACGGTAATAAAGTGTCTGACTCCAGTAACAAAACACCCGCCTTGGCGAATGCACGAATCAACACCACAGTCCATGGTTCCGTCAACAGTGCGCCTTCGTTAACTGCAAAATGAAATTCGCGGGACTCTGGGAACGATGCGTCTTCTCGCGGGCATGCGCAGCTCGCCAGATCGGATAATACCCGGCAGTTGTTCTCACGGAACTTTGCGATGAAAGCGGTTAGATTCCGTTGCTGTGTGGCTTCTTCGAGCCCAAGCTCTGACTCGTCTACCACTTCCATCAAGTCTGCAAGCAGAAGCGTTGCCAGGTGCCAATGGCCGGTAACACAAACGTACCACGACTGGACGCGTGGTGGGAGGCGGTCGTGGTTCTGGATGCAGTCCCGTATGAAAGGAGCGTACAGCGCATCCCAGTGGTTGCACACGTCCATCGCCGAACTAACAGCCTCTTCAACCTTCGCGCCTCGCGCGTTCCTTGTAAGGAGCGTCTGGATTCGGCAAACCCTCCTGAACAGTAACACCTTGACAGGGGCTGCATCACACAGCGCGGTTGCCGCTTCATCGAATGAGCATGGCCATCTCATGGGTACATGCTCCGGGTTCTGTTGTTGTTGTCGGGCGAACAGATACTCATCCCAGAGTCCGTCGCCTTCGTCTGTCGACGAGGGTGTTACTGCCTGTTGGACCGAGTGCTCGATTTGCATGCTTTCGCTAAGCACTACATCGCTATCTTCATCCGATACCACCAACGGTCGTTTATGCATTGCTGCTGACAGAGTGTCGAACATAACGCCCAACCAGAACAGAAGATCTACTGTTGCACGGTCCGCATCTTCAAGCCGCACGACTGACGAGCGTCGTTGCCGTGCGGAGCTGCTGCGTCGCGCTTCTCTGGACATGGTCATGCGTGATCTCAAAGAATGAATGAGCCGGAGGCCTGATTCGAGATGGACAGGTGGTCCATCAGCCTCTATTGCAAGATTCAATTTCGACATCAAGTCTGCACAGTCGTCCATATCCTGATCGGTTGCAAGCAAGGGTGTACCTTCTCTCGATACTTGCGCACAAGCGTCTGTCTCCATCAGTTCGGTCTTCGAAACAGAGTTCGGCGCATCCTGTGTTTCTTCAACTGTCTCAATCGGTCTTTGTGTCAAAGCGAAGATGATTTGTGCGAGTACCACTCGGAAAGACTCCACCTCGCCAGCTTTTTGTAGTGCGTTGCGGGCCTCATGCCATGCTGATATCTGTAACGTACGATCGAAGTCCAAGCCGGTCGGAGTACATTCGTCCTCTTCGCTATCAAAGACGCTGCTGCCACCGTCGATCGAAGTGCTATGGAACGGATACTTCGTTCTGCTTCTGGCACTGGATTGCGCCCACTGTGAAGCGAAGGAGAAAACCGCCAAGTCCAAAGCCCTAGATGCAGCGCGGTCTTCCGTCTGGGTAAGCTTGCGCCCTCTGATGGTAGATGCTAGTCTATCGAGGCGAACCACTCGGTGATAGATTCTATTCCAATCGGGTCTAGCATTCGTGGCTAGCAGAGTATCCGATTTTGCACTGTAGGGACAGGTTCTTTCTGTTACCCAGCATGCAAGTGCGTTTTCGAAACTATCATGATAGATCCTCAGCAAGCTTTCAGTCAGATACGCGTTGTTGCTCGATGAAAGAATATCGCTGGCATATGATATTACTGGGTAAGAATGCGCACCATTTGAGATTGATGCCGAGGAGCTGGAGCGACGCCTTTTTTGACCGGTACGTGCGACAGTCCCTTCCGATATGGTAGAAGGTGGTTTGCTTATGCTTATGCTACTCGTGTCTGGATAGTCTGAAGGGCTGTCGCGCTCGGGCTTGTCATCGCTAATCTCTGAAGTTGTTTTCAAGGATGAGCCTCTACCAGAGTCGCAATCGAGCAGAGTCCAGTTTTCCTCGGCAAACCCGCCAGCGAGCTCCGATTCATCTCTTGTCCCTTCTTTCTCGAATGTCTGCGACGGTTCATGAAACAGGGCGATTGTGGGATCGGCGGTGAACATAGAAGAACCGCACGGAAAATCTCCAAAAGTTACACCTAGTTCAACGGGTGGAGTATGAGCGAGAAATTCATCGTTGCTCAAATGTCGGCTCTCTTTTGACTTCGTCGTTGTGGTAGAATGCCAAGCTACATTTGGCTTCTGTGCTCGGCTGGTGGAATTGCTTCGCGTACGGCGCCTCTTTGCTGGCGGCGCAGCTGTCTGTGGTGGTTGTGAAGCTTGCGATACACGCTGTGAGCGCAGCCACTCGAAAGTGCAGCTCTTCTTCGTCTTCTCACAATTACCGCACGAAGCTAGTGGCCCGTAAACGTCTGACAGGTTAGCTGACGTCTGCGCTACCATCAAAAGGGGTGTGGCTCACCACTATAATGGAACACTGTAGGGGTTGCTCCAGATTTACTCGTTTCTAAAAGAGTGTCCTCCAGGATAGCCGCATCGCATGCCCTCTTTCCTTTACGACATTGATCGCAGCACCTGTTCTGTTTCCGACTTGTCTTAGAAGGTTTGGTGGCCGCCATCGCCGCCGAAGAGGGCGACGTCCAGGCATAATCGAGGAACGACTTAGGTTGCACGTCCACGAAGTTCATGGCTGCTGCTCGGATTGTACGGCAAAAAGAGGGAAAGACACGAGAGGTATGCTTGATGCAAAGAGACAAGTGCGTTACTGATATGCACACCCCGCGTTGCCGGCTAGGACCCACATCCCAACACAGAAATGCGGGGAAGGCTAACGCGTGGCAGGGAATTATGATGCTCAACGCAAGCTTCAGTCCTGCCCACAATTGACGATTGAGGATGCTTCACGGCTGGTTCCGTCGATCGCATGCATTCCAAACATGTGTCCCTTGTTTGCGACCGCCCAGTTCTCACCAAAAGCAGCCCTCAATATTCCATCGTAACGTTATCCCGTGAGCTCACGGGATGGTTTGTACCGGACATTCGGTCTGACCTAGGCGCTACTTCTCTCAGCTTGCAGCCTATCATGTTGTAATTGGCCCTTTGTCTGACAATCGAACTGTTCCGAAACCTTCTCCAATGCAACTTGTGTGAAACGAGCATCGGATCAGCCCATATGCAAAGCTGTGGATGGTTTCAACGTTTTCACCGCCACAAAAAGCAATTTAATTATCAGCTCAAATTGCAGCTTCATTGCACGTTTTCTAATCGTGCGCGTTCGTGGCTTATCTGTAACCCACGGACAACCTGGTAGTCTGTAGATGACAAGTGACGCTAACAACATGTGGGGGTACGATACACACTATGCTCACGAACCAATTTAGGCTTCCCTAGACCCAACATTATGGTTTCGACGCTCCATCAAGAGTATATCAAGTGAGAAAGGAAAGCGATTGCCCATGACCATGCAACTTGACGCGAGCTTGGAAATCAGAACGCTGACGATCATGTCCGTCCGACCGAATCCGACACAACTAGACGGGCCGATTGCATAAGCAATGGCTGCAAAGCCACCCAACATGACATCTGATCAAGCTCCCAGGGCTTTGTAGATCTGCGTCTCAATGTCGAACCACAACCCAAGCACCTTGGGATCGCCAAACGGCAGGATCTGACAGCATACAATTCCGCCGACTCCCTTCTCTCTATCACACCACCACCAGCAATTCGGCAGACCGGCCCAGAACCCAGTACTCTTGGACCGGCCAGTCGGACCTCCGTTAGATAACATGAATGTCAGGCCCCATCCCTGGGGTGGATTTCCTTCGACAGGATATACGTCGGAAATAGGGTTTGTGAGATCGGGCTTGGCTGCTGGAATTCCCTGGCGACCGAAGTCAGGGAATTGTGGGATCTGATTTGTGAACATGAGGTCGACTGTCTCTTTCTTCAGCAGCTGAACGCCAGTTTTTGGTGATGTGCCGTCGTTGAGCAAGGTCGCGATGATTTCTATTTGCCGTTAGCCCGCTGTGATGTTAAGGGGATATGTTTGCAACCTACGTGCATAGTCCGACGGTATCGCGAAAGCACCTGCGCCTCCACTGTTGAGTATGTCGCTTATCTCATCAGTCTTAGCTCCCAAGACCTTGAGCATGAGGTGGTCGCGCTCAACCAGACTGCCATCGTGGTTTCGCTGGTGCATATGCGCTAGCCGCTTCTTCATGTCTTCGGTGGGAAACATGGTGATGTTCTTCAATCCCAACGGCTCGAAGATATTCTTGAGACAGTAATCGTTCAGAGACAGGCCAGTCTTGCGCTCGAGAGCCAGACCGGCGAAATCAATGTTTACACCGTATTGCCATCCCTCTCCCGGTTGGAAGGTCAGCGGTTGGAGGATATCTTTAACACTGCCCGAGAATTCGTTATGGAAGCTGTCTGGCGACGAAAAGTCGCGCAGTTGTTCGTTAAAGAAGGTATAGCCGAAACCAGCTGTTCACCATAGTCAGTAAGAAGACGCTCTAGTTTGTGGCAGTCACTCATACCAGTATGCGACAGGAGCATCCTCAGCGTAATCTTCCCTTTCTTCTCTGCCAGACTACCATCCTTCTGCAGCACTTTGGTTTCCTTCAACTCCGGAACCAAAGTCTCCATCTCGTCTCCATCATCTAAATGCAGCTTTCCTTGCTCAACGAGCTGCATGCAAGCAAGCCCAGCGATCATCTTAGTGCAAGATGCGATCCAGAACACGTTGTCAAGCGTCATGTTCTCGCTGCTTGCAGCTCCTCTCTTACCAGCGGCGTGCGCGAAGAGTTCGTTGCCATCTTTTCCCACAACTACAACACTAGTTCCTGGGATAGATGTCTTGGGATCCGCGCAGGCTGTGTCGACGGACTTTTTGAGATTCTGGACGACTTCAGTGGACAGAGGCATGATTGATTGTTACAATGGTACGAATTCGAAAAAAGGCTTTATGCATTCAATGTCACGACAGCGAAGGCTCAACATGGTACCTCTAGTACACCTATATACCGGTACATCATGTGCGGCACCGGCAGTGCAATGGACCAACGGGCGTGCGGGGATAACTGGAATTCGGCGTCATGTCGGATACTGCCCCTCATGGTGTTGTCGCCTTGTTTTCAGCATGTTCCGGAGGAAGATCGTCCAAGCCTTCTATCTAAACCTTGAGATCAGTCCGTAGCCTTGAAAGTTTTCTGAGGGGGTTCTAAGCATGAGGCGAGGAATGACGATGTACTTTGTACACGCTGCCTAGGCGTGGAGTATTCCGTACAACCTTGGAAAACGTGACGGCCGCCTTGGTACTAGCGTGACTAGCGCTCAACCGAGGCATGCACAAGCACTGGGGCCTGCGCCCACAGAAAGTCACTCTCATAGAGTTCTGAATGCACAGTCTATCCTAACTGCAGTCAACATCAAACACCACGCGTGATTGCGGGATTTTTCTGCATTCGTTGAAGCTGTGTCGACTACAGGAAGATGGTAAAGCTTGGATGTTGACGTGGCAGCCCCGAAGAACGGCGCCGCCCTAGCATTACCAGACGAATTTGCGCACGTCTTTGGGTAGCCACTGGTGCTGTACCGGCTCGCAACTCGCTGGTATGAAGCTGGACAATGTATGCGCGGCATTGAGAATCGCGCTCATGTTGAAGATACCAGTAGAGAAGCGAAGCCCTTAATTACGCGACATGAAGAGGCTGGATTATGTAGGCCGCCCCTCAGGGCTTGCGGCAGTCTCATCGCGACGTTTGCTAATCGCGAGGTGATCAAACACCACAGAAATCGCGTATAGCTAGAACGAGGCTCTCTCAGAATTACAGAGCATGCATCATGCGGCTGTCACAGGTAGTACACATTGAACAAAAGATCTCTTTTTATGTTGTGCTCAAAATCCTGGTGAGCTTGACTGCGTCCGCAAGCGAAACGGCAACACAACATGCACTCTTCCTCAATCCACCGCCAGGGCGATGAAATAAATGAAAAGCTCAAAAGCAGACCAGAAAAAATTGCCCCGCCGAGATCCCCGAAGGAAGCTCGTAACAGTCCCATACCGCGCTGTGCAATGCAGACGAGACTGTTAGATGAACCCAATCTTTGAGCTGGGTCATCGCAAGAAGGTAAGTATGCCGCATTACTTTCGAGCGAAGGGCAGTATTTAAGTAAATAGGAGAGGGGCCTGTGCAGAGTGCATGTGACTTGTACACTAGGGGGAGATGATCGTTGTCTGGCGGGTGCGGAAATTGCTGCAAGGGGGCCACATCTCCACTACGTCCAGGTTACCTAAGCAACTCTGTTCCGTTTCTGCCGAAGGATCTATCGTGAAGATTCTCATCCAAAGTTTTCCCTGGCTCGTTCTTGGCCGGACGTCATCGATTGTCGACGACTGATGTCTCCAGGAAACGTTTTTCGCACGTCGGCCAAGGGTCGGCGTGTGCGATATGATCGAATACTTGGTGGATCAGATGGCGGAAATGATCGAGTATAAGTTGTGCAGTCCAACTGGGACAGGATGAGCAAATCTTGTCCCTGGAATCTCACGCAAGATGCTTTGTGGCGGTGCATTGCGAATTCCTCTTCTTGTGCTTGCGTCGTGCGTTTCGCTCGGTAGAACAGCAACGCTCTTCACAGGCGGGACAGTAATAGGCTGGGATCGCTCTGCCAACTACCTCGATGTTATTCGGAATGGCTCTGTGTTAGTTGAGAACGACACAATAACAGCGGTTTTCTCTGGATCGTACAACGGAACTCTACCAGCCGACCTGGACGTCGTCGACGCTGCCAACGACATCATCTCCACGGGCTTTATCGACACCCACCGCCATAGCTGGCAGACGGCCTTTAAGACTTTGGGCTCGAATGTCACACTGATGCGATACTTCGAGCGCTATGGCACCGATTCGCCCGCTAGTGCGCATCTTACGCCCCAGGATGTGTACATTGGCCAGCTCGTCGGGTTGTATGAGGCCTTGAACGGCGGTGTCACCACCATTCTGGACTTCCCGCATTGCACATGGTCGGCGGCTCACGCTATGGCCGCGCTCAATGCGACGCTGGAAAGTGGTGTCAGAACTGAATTCGCGTACTACTTCCAGGACTACGCGAACTTCACAGTCAATGGGCAGATTGATCTCTTCCGGGATCTAGTCGACGACGCGCGTTTCGACAGCTCGCCTACGGAGCTGGGCATCTCCTACGATGGCTTCTCCAGTTCTGACAGGAACCAAACGCGCACCATCCTTGACTTGGCGATGTTAGTATACGACCATAACAAACAAACACAAGGCTGATTCGTGATAGTGAAAAGAACGTTTCCGTAGTCACCACCCATGCGAATGGCGGCGTCTATGGCGCCCCAAACTTTCCTGAGGTCTTGGACGGATTCGACTTCCTCAATCAATCTATTCCCATCGTCTTCGCACATGCCAGCTATCACAGTGCAACAGATGCGCAACTGCTGCGTCAGTACAACCACTACATCTCCACCACCCCAGAGTCGGAGATGCATTACGGTCACCTACATCCCAACAGCCATCTCACTCTAGACCAGGAGGCATTGGGTATCGACACGCATTTTACCTTCTCATCAGATATCCTGCCGCAGGCACGATTGTGGCTCCAGAGCGTCAGGAAGATCTTCTACCGCGAAGTTGTTGATCGCCGCCGCCTTCCCGCCGAGAACCCCATGTCCGCCAACCAGGCCTTCCTTCTAGCGACTCGTAACGGAGCACTCGCATTGCGACGATCGGACATTGGTGTTTTGGCGCCAGGAGCTAAAGCAGATCTTCTGGTGTGGAATGGCCGCGCTCCTAGTGTTCTTGGCTGGGCCGACCCAATCGCTGCGATCATGCTACATGCGAACGTGGGAGATATCAAGCATGTCATGATCGATGGAAAGTTCAAGAAGCGAGACGGACAGCTGACTGTACCTGGGTACACGGCGCTGCAAGAGCGTTTTTTGGAGAGTGCGAAGAGAATTCAAGATATCTGGAGGCAGATGCCACTACCAATTACAGAAGGTGAGGCGGAAAATGGGGTGCCTTTCGAGAAGCCGATGATGGCGGATGTCGAGAGAGGCGAGGGAACTGGGTATGGTCCTCTGTACGTCTAGTTAGAGTCTGGGATGCGCGCTACTGATAGATAAACACTGGTAATTTTAATAGACAATAAAGCATGAACGTGAGAAAACACTCTTCCCCACCATTGCCATCCAGGACTCTGCCTCAAATCTTCCTGTTTTCCACACGAACCCACTTCTCCACACCTCATACTTCCCCCTTGTCTTCCTCCAGCGCGAGCTTCTCCTTCTCCCTACCCGCACTACCACCATCGCCCTCCCTCTTAACATGCTTCTTTTCCCTGGTATCTGCGCCCAGCCAAAGCAAGTCGGGCCTGGAGTAATGGCCCACAGCGTCCGCGAATAGTCTTATGCTAATTAACTCATCCATGTCTAAATCGGCAAACACGAAACCCTCTGCATCCATACCAAGAGGCTCTGTCATCCTCCGCCCGTCGGGCCCATACACAGCCGAGTCGCCACCGCCAATGTGGCCGAAGAGCGGATTGCCTTCGACACGGTGGGCGGTGATGCCAGCAGTCGAGATGGTAGGATGGCAACATAAGACGAAAGTCGAAGCTTCTATGGCGTGGACGCGAGAAAGAGCACTAGCGCCTTGAAAGAGGAGATCGGTTAGTTCTTCCATACGAGACAAGTGAGAAGGGTGTAAGAGAGGGAAAAATTGGCTAAGGGAAAAGAGTCTTGGAACCGAGAAAATGGAATAGCGGCTTATGTGTTGGTAACAAGGCTATCATACATACCTTCAGAACTCATACCCCAGGCCACCTTATTTTCAACCCCTTTCTCCGCTAAATGCATAGGCGGCCACGCCGCAACATGGATCTCCTCATGCTGGCTATTCGTGTGATACTTAAGAAGCGGTTGCATGTGCTCCCAACAATTCAGTCCACCGACTCGTCCGATGCCCTCGACCTCTACCACGTTGTTGAGACTGGTACCGTCGCCGTCCCCATACACGGTGCGCTCCATATGCGTGGGTTTGATTTTGCGTCGCTTCATCACGATGGTACCCGAGGCGTTGATGATGCATTGCGCTATGTATAGACTGTTGTGGTCGTTTTCGCTGAAACCGAGGACTACGGCGATACGAGCTGTGCGGGCTGCAGTGCAAATCCTAGCCATCTCGGGGGAGTCATACGATAGGGAGTTTTTGACGTACTTGGTCCCGAGCTCTACATCCATGGGACGCTGCCTGTGTTATTTCCTCATGTTAGTAAACCGCAAACGTATTGATGTGTATTTGAGCCATCGCTGTTGCTGCTGCTGTCCAGCATATCTAACCTCATGGATGTGACAGAAGAAGACAAAAACTGAGAAGGCAAACAAGAATACACACCAGATCCAGGCCGGATATCCTGGAATCCAAACCTCAGGAAAAACAACTAATTTCGCATCTTCCCTTGCTGCCTCGGCGATCAATTTGCAAGTCTTGTCTACCGTAGCTGTGAGATCGAACCACACAGGTTCATGTTGCGTGACTGCGACTTTGACAATCGAAGACTTCGACATCTTTTCTGTTCGGTCGAGGTTAGAAGCTGCTTAGTTGACACGAATAGAGGGGACGACTTCAAGTTATCCACAAGGAATATGACAGCGCAACTGATTACACGGCATCTGGACCTGCATAAATAGCCAAATGGAAGACACTAACACGAATCCATGCTGACGCGGGGTAAAAGAAAGGGCGGATCAGGACGATAGTGAGAGTAAGAACGAGGGAAGACATGCACGTGTGGATCGCTTTTCAAAATAGCTCAAACAAGGTACGATAGGGGAGATCTCGGGAGAGGACAATGTTGTAACGACGGGTCTGGTTCCGAGATAGTCGGAGAGATAGGTTCCCACGATAGGCTGCAAAGCGCGGGGTACGCTTGAAGTTACTCGAATACAGCGTTGTGATCGATCGGCTTGCTAGCATTTGTCATGTTGAGATGCGGACCGCGGAGTTGCGCCTCTTCGAATCGTTGTCTGTTTCATTAGAGCTAGAGCTTTAGGTTGTTCGTTCGCTATCGTTATCTTGTAATGTCCTTTTCGAAACTTGCCGACTTGGCATCTTTCTCGATTAGATGCCGACGAAATCACGCGAGACGGCAGTTCGGCATTATTCCGCACCTGTTCCACGAAGACATCGGTACGCAATGGAGTATTTCCGCACGTTCTAACATCCCGCCATGGAAGCAGTAAATGGGAAGAACGAGATTCTTCTCGATGGATGATCTACGCATAAAGTGCAAATTTCGATATCGGGGAAATGGTAGATAGCATTTATGCCATCAACCAAGCTGATTTGGTTTGATCCAGTGGTTGTGGTGAGTACAAAGGCACAACGTGAGAGTGCCATAAGTGGGATCGGAGAACCGGTTTGTGTGAGAGTGCTGGTATTATTATTATGGGCTCAACTCACAGGCAATCCCAGAAACATTATATTTTCAGACAACACTCCACTAGTAAGCATAGGTATCGTGTGCGAACACGCCGCTCCAGGCTCATTAAGTCTTTGGGACGGCAGAAACAGCCAGACAGGTGCAGTGCAGAACGCTGTTTTCAATGCAGTTTTCAAGTACGCTTTTGGCGCCTACGGGTAAGCTGTTGAATGTAAAGTTCAATGAAGTGTACCATTCAACCTCCTAATATACTGTACCTTCAATCCATATCTTCTCGGTAAATGCTGGTATCACAATGGCACGGAAGGTACAACATGGTGTGTTCTTCTGGCCAGGGCAGCTGTCATATCTCAACTACCGAAAGACGCCATGGGAAACATGTGAATGTTTGCCATGATAGAACTTTTCGACAGCGTGTTCTGCGTTCTTACCATCGCGTTGCTACAAAGGTAAGTATAGTAACGGAGACCGACAAAGCTGGATAGGGGCGGTAGCATTGCTTTTGTTACTAGCGAAATCGACGAATAAGGCTGAACTCGCCAAGGACGCCATGCTCCGATCGCTCGTCGTATCATAATGGAATATTCTTACTGACTTCCTGACCTATGTAGAGCTGATTGGTTCTGGGTCTCCAATGCTTGCTAGCCCTAGAGAATCGGCTTCTCATTCGTGATCGACCTAGAGCTGCAGTGTAGTTGCTCGCCGGAGATAGTAAGAATTGGCGAAAGGCGCCTCTAGATGACAGCCTTCTCCGTTATCATATGACAAGTTCAAATACCGTATCTTGATGTGGTCGGTACATCTTCACGAAGCCCCAAAGCGTTTCACATCCTTCTTCTTCGAACTTATCCTTCTATGCACACGTTATAATTAGTGGCCCATGATGGTTATTTTCAGCCATCGAGCAATACTCCTCCACTCATTATGTTTCATTATCTGCCTCTCCATCGTGGTAGCAGAAACTTACACCAACGCAGCATGCAACGCCGTTGAAGCCACGATGGGCTCATGCGCGCAGCGCTGGGATAGTATCCGCACCGAATGCACCAATTCTGTAACCACAAATACCATTTGGCCTGGGCCGTGCGAATGCTCTTACTATGCCAACGATCTGCCTTGTTTTGACGAGCAGGCGGCATGCGCGAACCAAGTTTGGACACAGCTACCGCAGTGGTTTCGAGACGGTGTTACAAGCTGTTTGATGAAGGATGAGAGCTATACTATAAGAGCGCAACTTGGTTCGGTGGAAAATCCGTTTTCGACGACAGGTATTGCGGGCAATGTCACTCGGGCTACAGCAGCACAGACCGGTAGAATGATTTCGAGTCCCACGGTGAGCTCTACGACAGGTAGTTTCAATGTGCCCTCAGCTACGACGAACAGCCACAGTACGATATACACACCTCTTTCAACGAGTGCAACAGTTTCAGGCATTCAGAGAGCGTCCTCTAGTGGCTTTTCGGCTGGCAGCAAAGCCGGAATCGGAGTCGGTATCACTATCGGAATCCTCACCACCATCGCTCTCGCCGTATGGCTTGTTAAGAGGAGACGGAGATCACTTTCGGACGAAGCCACCGAGACTGAGTCTGGAACTGCAGAGCTGCATAACAACGATGTGAAGATATATGAGACCGAGGTTGAAACGTACTCAAAGCACGAATTAGATGCTGGCTCAAGGCCCGAATTAGATGGAAATCCGCGAAGCGAGCTTGATGGAGGTGCAACGAGGGAGATACCAGGAATTCATGCGCTTCATGAAGTAGACGGACAGGCGATGGACGGACCAGGTGGAAGATTTACGGAAAGACAGGATTAGTAGGTTGGCTGAGAGCCGTTGCCAAAGGTGCCTGAACATGTGGTCGTCGGCTGTGATTCCTTTGTATATCATGGCAATAAACCCTCAGAATAAGATATTATCCGAAGAAGGCGTTCTTGGTTGTTGCATCCAAGCTTATCTGGAAGGCATGTTGAAATCTTAGTCGTCGGAAAAAAGGCGATCGTCGGGTGAAGTGACAAGAAGAATGGCAAAAACATATAATTGTAGGGGTTCGATAGTAGTCATCCACCCAACTACTGATCAGGCGCATCGAAACATGTTACATGTCCGATAGTATTCAGTGTATCTAAAGATATTCTTACGTCTTGCTCGACTGACCCGAATGGAAACGTTTGAACCCCTCGGATCAGGCAGTCTACTCAGAACTAGGTGCACTGGGCGAAATCTCCAGCACCTTGGCCGTCTGCATTGTCTTGGTGGTACACAGTGAAGCAGTACGTGAACTGATTGTTGTTCCTACGAGCGAAGACGACCTGCAGCATGATAAGTTCAAGAAGTATATAGGTAGGATGAGCATTGTAGTACTTACTCGATCTGGTCCTGCGATATCGGATATTGTACCTGTCCACCAGAGGCCGAGGGTGGACCTTGCTAGATTGATTTCGTACGCTAATACGAGCTATACGGTCTTTGGAGGTAGCTGGAATTTCTCCTTCTATAGAAATCGGGCTAATGCTTACCTAGGTAATGATCTAAAGCTTATCTGACAACCGGAACGAAGAGCTGTAGTGACTGAGAGAGCTTACGGAACGCAAAACATGTAACCAACATTCACTTCTTTAGCTCAATATCATCGCTTACAAAATTCGGCGCGTAATACGCTCATTTCATTAGCTATCTCAGTAAATGCGATATGCATCTTACGTCTCACCATTTGCAAAGTTGAGTTGTCGGACGGAACAGTGGAGTCGTACGCGCTCGGAACTTTCCTGATGCACTATACATGTACTAACTATGCTGAGATCTGGTATGAAGTGTTGATTTCAAGGCGTTCATGTTTAGAGGCAGTTGCCTCGGCCTCGGGTCTGATCTTTCGTATTACCCTGCCGTAGCCCTGCACCGAGGTACTTCAGGTTGCAGCTTAGGAATAACACCAACATAGACTTCCTCCTTTCACACATAGAAGGAACAGGCTTGGTTCTTGACGCTGATTACGTTCGTCGTATTGGTCTAGTACGACTAGGTGACCCGACTCGGACGACACCTGGGACCGAGCCACAGCAATATCGGGCAAGAAGGACTCAAGATCTCCCAAGTCCATCGAGGATATCGACATACCAGGCAAAAAGAGATTAAGAAAGAAGAAGATTAGTTAAAGGAGGCACGCGAGGCTACAAAGAGTAAGAGAAAGGATATAGAATTAGTAGTTAGAGTTTTGAAGTAATAGAACCTAGCAGACGCAGAAAGTTAGAGGTTTCTACGCGCTTACTTAGCAAGAAGACAGCAAAGGTAGAAGAGGTAGGTAGAGAAAGAGATAAGGTTCTTAGGTAGTGAGAAGAACGCTAGAGTTAAAGCTAGAGAGGGCGGTAGAAAATAGACAAATCGGAGTTGATGCAATTAGTGATTTGGGTTGTTTTGCAGATATATTGACTGGCGTTCCCAAGGTATGTTTAATTCCACTGTGTATAAGCTAGCATCCGGTCAGGAAACGTCAGGCTGGAGACATCTGGTACGGCGAAAGACGTGGAAAGGTTTACATCCACAGCAGCTGGAGGATGTAGCAAAAAAAAGATGGACATTGGCTTATTTATATGTGCAAAAACAAAAAACAAAACATACAACAGCGGGGATTCGCTAGTGGTCACCCACCTAACTACTAATCCGCCGGTACACTGCTTGTATATGGCTGAGCGGACGGGAAGCCTAATTTTCAGTGTCCTATGGTCGTATGTGCAAGAAAGGGAAATTCTTTTGAATATAGAATTAGTATAGACAAGCTTCTGGTAACGAGCAGCGATTGTTGGACATATCCGAGCTTGGCCAGCACTTTCCACTATTGTCCCCTTCTCTTATCTTCACGATCTCAGGCATAGTGTCATGTAAGACGATGTTTGGAAAGCTGTAAAGTGGTGGTGGTAGGCGCGGTGTGGCGAAGGTTTGTAGAGTGCGGAGTGCGAATCGGTTTGGTGACGTAGTGGACGTCATACTATGCAGTTACCCGAATGAACATACTCGTCTGAATGCACAGTTGATGTTGTGAGCTAGTGTGTGAGCACGGGAGACAGTGTAAGATGACACGTGTTGTATACCCATAGTCAACGACGCAAAAGACGACTGCGGCACAGCCGAGAGGCGTCATCTCGACGTGCTGGTATTATTACGTCGGCCCTTGAAACCAAACATCCTAGACACGACACCATATTTTCATGGACCACAGCGATTTTGTCGTAGTATGCAAGATACATCGCCATGGACGATACGAAGACAGTGACGCCGGGTAGGCGCGATGCACGCAGAGCGTGTCGCGTGCGTATGCAGGTGCAACGCATATGATCGCCGCCGCTAGGCACCAACGCCACGATATCGCACCCTTGCCACTTTTCCACGATCTAGGCCAGCACCGCCACACCTCTCACTGCTATTCTTGTCATCTTCCATCCGGTTTCCATACCATACCATCTCCATCCTTCCGCCCTTCCGCCCACTCAGCTGCCTACCAGCGGTAAAACACGGCACATCAGGCATCAAGACGCGTAACATGTCCCACTGAACGCGCTAACACGCTGTCACATGCTTCATCAGGCGTCCAATCAAGCTACGGCAACGACGTTGTTGGGCAGTCGGGTGGGAGTCATTCTTCGTTTCCGATTTTGAAAGCTCCAGCGAGACATGGCCACAATATTTTTGTTGGGTCGGAACGTGGGCGAGATGGCAAACAGGTATTGGGTGATTTCCGTTGGCTCCGTTCGGAGTCCGTCGGGTCACCAATTGAAGAAGGCAACATGATGAGAAATGCCGACGAGACAATAAGCCGGACACTGCGGATTAGGAGGTGAAGAAGTCTGCAACGGGTATCGATGACGCCATATTATACCTAGATAATGTCGCCATGTACAGTCGTATCTCGTACTCGGATACCATGCCCATCACGGGCATTATAGCGGCGCGGTTGCCTGGGCATATGCGAACGTCTGTCTAGGCAGCCAGTGCACGCGCCCTTTTGTTACCAAGGTTCGCGGCTAAGGCAAACTCACTAGACACGACATACGGGAACGCGCTGCGCACAAGGCTAGAGTGTACATCGTTATTGGGGGCGGAAAGCCAAAATCAACAACAACTTCACGCAATGAAAGACCGCGTCATGTAGAATGCTACAACCGGAAGCAGTAGGTATGTGGTTCATTCTCTGATTATGAGTGGCATATTCTATCTACTCTTCTCCGGTCTGAGTGAGGTATCATCCATAACTTCCTCCATGTCCTTCTCCTATCCACACCATCGCAATCTTTGGTATCATAGGTTTCGCAGATGAGCATGTACCAGCCATGCTCAGAGTGCGCATATAGTAAAGGAAACATTACAGTTTAGAGTGATACAGGAAAAACGCTCCAGTAATATGTACAGTGAGCGACAAGTTATGAACCTGAGAATGAGGCAACGAAAGTGCGCCGCAAAGATGCACCTAATGACCTCAACATGAACAGTGCGAAGAGACTCAAAAGCAGCTCATCATTGCCTGTGACTCTGTTGCAGAGCCATGACAGCTTGCTCTAGTTGCCGTAATCGTGAGTCCTTTTCCTCATTCTCCTGTCGAAGACGCTTGATTTCGGAGCGCATCTCGTCATTGCCACGGTCCGAGATACTAGAGTCAGAGCCTACTCGCTTGCGCTTGAGACTCAAATCCTCCTCCTCGCGGTACTCCATGGGTCGATTGTAAGGTGACTCCGAGGCTCGTGACTCAGCGATAGGTGAACCTTCTATCTCGCGCCTGACCATGTCGCGGCGGATTATCAAGCCATGCATGTCTGCTGACATTGATGTTCTCCGGTGTACGCGGCGAACATGCTCAGCCAGGTTCTCCTTCCGCGTGAAGCCGGCGCCTGAGCTGCGTTTGCAGTCGTGGAAGGGGCAGAAGAGAGACTTCTTGGTACCGCCGTGCATCTTGTGAACTTCACGTTCGTGGCGAAGAAGGCCGCCGCTGTAAGTGAAGCCTTGAAGTTTCTCGCAACCCTTGACGTTGCACTTGTAAGGTCGGTCATGTTTGTCCATGTGTTTGCTGTGGTAAAATCAGTCAGAGATTGCTGTCAGAATGGGACTTGAAATTACTCACCTCCATTCGCATTTTCGGTCGAAAGATGTACCCCGGCATTCTTGATACTTGCACACCATCTTGCCGTCTTCATTGCGCGGCGGTTCTTCGGCGCGTTTGTAGCTGTGGTTCTTCCGTAGTGATCCGTCGTCGTCGCCATCTTGTGAAGAATCCACAGATATCCCTCTGCTGTGACCTCTTGGTGGGCTTGTGGTTATGATCGGTTGTTCGCCAGCAGTTGGAGATGTTAGAGGAGACCGAGGGCCGACCATGCTGACGGGGGTAGGCATGTCAGTAAGTGAGTTGATGGAGATATTCCGCTTGTGCTCGTGCGGGACTTGCATAGGAGTGGGATTTGGAGATAGTTCAGTCATGATGTTCTGGTCGTAAATGTTGAAGAATTGGGGGTTAAAGCACTGTTGCTGGGCCTCAGGTTGGCGATTTGGTCGATATATACCAGAAGACGCGAAGTCAGTTTGTGGCTGAGCAAAGAGATTGCTTTCCGCCGCTCCGGTGACTCTAACTCTCGGAACTTGAGTAGATGTGATCAGATGACGCGGACTGTCTTGAGGTGGCAACGAATATGGATGCCAAGAATTATGGTGGTCGGAGCCCAGATGCGGAAAGGCCGTTAGAGGTGGCGCAGCAATGCCTGGATCTTGAGGCAAATAAGAATTAACGGGCGAAACTGCCTGATAGTCTTGGGCGGCAGGGCGATAATAAGTATCTGGATTTGGATCTGTTAGTTGCCGCTACCTAGGTATGGATTACTCCAGCCTGAAACCTGGGTAGGTAGACGTTCGTGACTCAACTCAAACCAACACGGGACACTAGGCACTTACCTGGACACGGCGATGGCTCCGCTCCTCCAGCCTGACTAACCCTCAAGACTGGCAGCCTGCTCGTGAGACCATCCGAACTCAGATCGGGCACCCAGGTTTCCGTGTTTCGTGCCTGGAACAGATCATGGCCCACATTCACGTTTGTCGCATGCGTCGCATGCTGCGGTTGTTCGCCAATCAGCTCACGGCCGAGGCTGAGGTCTGTAATGCGTTAGCACCGCTTGACTGGACAGCCACAAACTTTAACCACTTGTCCACCTGAGTAGGAAGCCTCATTGGGCGAGGAGAGATGTAACACGTACAGTCTGACGATGCACCTGTATCCCACGAAAGATTGAGGTTTTGTAGCACTGCGTCGTATCGCACGCGATCTTTGTTGCGATTCGTCTGTTCGTCCAGAGTTTGCTCATAAAACATCCAGCACACTCCCCATAGCACAGCGAGCGAGGGTTTGATGGTCCATGGAAAGGTGCTGAGAGCTTGCGGCTTCTCGGCGAATTCAGTGAACCATGCTAGTAGTTTGCGCTGCTTCTTGTCATGATCGCCGTCAAGCAACTCCTTGAACGCCTTCTGCGCCAAGGCTTCAATGAGGTCTGTCTGCAGTCGCAGCAACAAATGTTCATAATTGGCAATGAAGTTCTCGTCAAGGATAAGTCCAGCGTCAAGCCCTTGGGCCAAGAGCCAGTCGTCACCATACTGCCGGCGACACTCCGCAAGCACGTTGATCGCTTCGTGTACTGCCACGAGGATCTGTACCGTCTCATTCAGGGAACAAGCCTCAAAGATCGGCGTATTATGGTGTTTGAGGAAGAGTTTGTTACTACCCGCAATAGACGAGAAGGTGTTTCCTGCGGCATGGAGCTTGCCGTCGACCGAGCGAAGCATACTAGAGCCGCAGGTTTAGTAGTTGAAACTAAACAAAAGTTTACGTGAACGTACTGTTGCACCTCATCCCCTAGGTTTCGACTTGCGGGAGCAGCCGAACCCGGCGTCTGCAGCTTGCGCGACGATCGCTTCAACTCCGGATTCTTGTGCTGACTCTTGCAGAAGCGATGGGCGACACGACGCGACTGCTTCGCATCCTGGACGCTGATCCGCGATAGACCGTTGGCAATACTTCGGAGGCTTGGCGAGAGTCGGCTGCCAAGGGCGTTCGCATCAATTGAGCCATCGAGCACGCGCGGCTTGACACGTCGACGAAGCTGTTTGACAAATTGTAGAATCCTAAAGGTGAGGATGATGTTCGTTTGCTTGCTGCGTTGTTGGATCGCCATTGCTAAGCGAGACGGGCGGTCCGAAGACGTAAGAAGAGACGTGTACGCAACCTTCGCCGCTTAGGCTCATGGCTAGTATGTATACTTGGAACATCCAAGGGCGGAGCAGACTGGAAAGTGCCTGCCGGTGAGCCTGCCTTGGTGGAAGGGGAGTGTCAAGCCACACTGTATGGCCACACCCTGCGTGATTCGTCAGTTGACAGCTTGTTGAAGTGCACAGCCACGCCAGCCTGCCGCGTCTTGGCCTGGGGCATCAACGCCAGACCCGAGACCACCTCTCTCGCCCTATCGTTTCTTCAGCCTGACGAAAGACAAGGTCACGCATTGTATCGGTGGTGTGGCGCAGCCGTTCTATCTGTCCTGCACGAGAGCTCTATAGGTAGGCACCTACGAATGTGCCGTGTTGAGGTCGCTTGACCGCCATAGTTTTGTCGCTGCCTTGAGAGAAGCCTGTGTTTTTCCAGAACCGGTGTCTTCTTCATGCGGAACTTTCAGAAACCATTAGGAAGTATCGTTGACCGCTTGACTTCTGTAATCCGATTCGGCGGGATCTGCGGCCAGGATGTAACGAGGCTCCCCCGCCATGATGGTGCAGCACCCTTCCGAAACGAGCTGGAACATGGATTCTGCGTAATGTCTCATCGCTGGATGTGATTGTGGGTGATGTTTGGATTGAGAGGGCGGAACTAGAAAGATCATAGCATTGGGTGGTTATGATAGTGGCGTGGAAAGAAGAAAGTGCTCAGGCATAGGACACGCGATACCCTCATTGTCCTCCAGGGCTTCGTCTCCCAGATGGATGCAGTGATCTACTAGCTCTAACTATAGGTGTTGGTCAAGTTGGCACACTCCGCCCGGGCAGCATCCCAGTATATAACCCGGCGTCACACGAAACATCCCCACAACTCCATGCCGAAACATCGCGACATGTTCGCACCGAGTTCGAGTCCGGATGTCCGGTTGTCCAAATGGAGACCATGTGTGCGAACCTCCAAGCGCGGCCTCAACGGCTTCGGAAGCTTGTTTCCTTCAGGCATTGCATGAACAAGTTTTGAATCTTTGGGCGGAGAGTTAGCTACCGAAACCTGAGAGGCCTCAGGCGAGCATTGTGTCAAACACGTGCCGGGGCGCAGTATTACAATTCCTGCAACTAGCTCGCACTCGTCTCTCCATTTGTCGATGGTTTGTTCCGTGAGCGTTATGTGTAAGCTGTCAGTTCTCGAAGCATGCTGAGTAACGAGGGTTGAGCATTTTGACATGTGGTCGCTGGGTAACGGGGAGTCATGTTGTGTGAAGAGATGGAGAAAAGAGACATGAGAAGAGACTCAGTTCCTTGGTTTGTGGAGAAGTGTTATCGCTCATGTCAGTATATTGTACAGCAACCACGCTGGTTATGCATTTTTGCCTTTTGCCCAGCTCTTTCCTATCCACCCTTCTGTCAGCCTCATCGACCCTCGGGTGATCATGACCTCAAGCCCAACAAGAAGCTACCACCACTTGAACCGCCACCGTTGCCACCAGAGTTACCACCAGGCAGATAGCTGACGTTGGGGTTCCTCGCCAGCATCTGCGCAATATCCTTCTGGGTCTCAATGCGCCTAATCAACACTAGACCGTCACCACTCTTTGCCACTGCCTTTGAGATTGTGTCGGCAGCCTCGGCTTCACCCTCGGCCCTGATAACGTTTGCTTGCCTCTCTTGCTCTGCCTTCTCTACAATGAAGCGCGCGCGCTCGGCTTCTTGTTGTGCGATCTGCTTCTCTTCGACGGCCTTGGTGAACTCTTTGCCGAAAGTCATGTGTGTGATGGAGACGTCTTCGAGGGCAATGTTGAACTCGTTGGCGCGCTTGAGCAGATCGGTCCGGATGCGGTTGGAGACGGCCTCTCGCTGAGTGATGAGTTCTGCGGCATCGAACTGTGCAACGATGGCTTTGAGGACTTCGTTACCGATGGAGGGGAGAACACGCTCGTCGTAGTCGAGACCGAGATTCTATAGACACGTTAGTCGTGGTCCCTGGAACTTCTGTCTTACACGCATGGGTGAGGGGATAGACGCACTTGGTAGATCTTAGGCAGCTGCTTGACCTCCGGGCGATGCAACACCCTCAGTGTAAGTGTGACCATCTGCAAATCCTTGGATCCCGTCGTTGTGCTGATATTCCTGGGCCTCGTCCTGACATCAAAGACAATTGCTCGTTGCAGCCATGGGACCAAGAAATGTGTGCCCTCGTTGACGACGTTTTCCTTGACTCCGGACAGACGGTCGAAGATGACGGCGCGGGTTCCGCCTTTGACGTCGTAGAGGGAGCTCTGCACCACGCTGGCGCCGATGGCAGCAGGAACGACCCAGCGGAAGAGTGAGGTAGGTATCGCGGCCATGGTGGGCGGGTTGTGAGGCGTTGGTGTGGTGAGGCGGCGGCAGGCACGATGCGGAGAATCGTGACAAGTGCATGATGCTTCTACGAAGTTGGCTGGTCTGTGCTTCTGCGGCGAACCATGCCTGTGATTGGCGCATACACCACCACCATCATCGACAGATACACAAGAACATGTGGGCGGGTTGCCATATCTCTATTGGAACATCCACAAACTCCCGTGCGGGTTATGCATATATATGTGTGGGCCTCTAAGCCCTTGTACGAATCTCTCACCCACCCATCATCTCCACTATAGACACAAGATCGACTCACTACTGCTCAATGAAACCCTTGTGCTCCTTGTGCGCCTTATACCAATAGCTGTCCTCCTTCTTCGGCCGGAGCTCTTCCGACAGCTTATCGAGGATGACTTCCAGAAGCTTCTGACGGCCGTCCTCGTTCTCTGCGTCCCGGTTCCACACGGCAATTTGTACAGCATTCCAGCGAACACTGTACGAGATCCCGCAGATGTCGTCGTTGAAGGCTGTCGAACAGTCAGTATCCAGGACATGTTAGAGTGATTAAAGAAAGATGACTCACAAGCACGCTTCGTCTCGACGGCCCCCTGCAAGACGTCACCGACGGCAAGCAGGCACATCTCGTGCCAGAACTGGGCCGCAAGGTCCTTGCTGACCTTGAAATACCATGCGCCGCCGCGCGTGTTTCGTGGATCTTCCCATACCGGCTTCACGCCCAGGTGGAAGAGGTGTATCGAGTCTCTGAGCTTCAGGTTCTCTACCGGTATGTTGTTGAAGTGCTGGTAGAACTCCTTGACGGAGACAATCTGGTCTCCAAGCGGCTTGGGCCGAGTAAGGTACTCTTCCGAAGCCACCTTGTCCTTTGGTGCGGCCTGCTGACCCTTCTCCGCCCAAAACATCCACTTGAAGCGGAACTCGGGAACTCGTACCGACTTGAAGATGTTGTTAAGCATGGCGGTGCCGCGTGCAGGTGATGCTGTAGCGGACTGCTCTTCAGCCGACGCCTTGGGGAGGTCCGAGGTGCTGAGCACCGGGAAGCGGCCAGCCATGGTAGGAGATGTGACGGGGATACCGAGATTGCTGCTAATGAGCTTGAGTTCTTCGATGTTGGAACGCGCGGTGAAAATGCGCTTGCTGTTCTCGATAGCGAGGTCGTTGGCGAGGTCCTGGGTAGTGTCCTTGGAGTGAACGTTGGGAGGGACAATGTCTGCGTCACGGGGAATGGCTCTGTTGAGAGCGACGATTATGCGATTAATTCCGACCTTGGACTCGTATGTCAGGGGATTGCTGGGGTAAGGCACACCGTGCTTGGTCGCGTGGACGAGGCCTTCAAGGAGTAAGACCGAGAGGGGCTTGCGCGCAGCTGCGGCAGTCCGAAGCTTTTTGCCGGATTCGTTGGCTGAGGCGAAGAACGCTTCACGCTCGCTGATCTTGTTGTGGTCAGCGTTGTGAGCAGCAGAAGCTCTGAGCATGCCGATGATACGAATGGTCTCGTTCATAGTCATGGTGACGGATGTGAATGTAGTGTAAAGTAGAATGATGCAGAGAAAAGAGACTATGACTGGGAGTCTTGGAACAGGTATAGAAAACTGATAGAGGATGGTTTGCAGATTTGTGAAGGGTAATGAAGAGCTGGAGTGTGATGGACAACAACAAGTCAAGGACAGGCGATTGGGAAGTTTTTACGCTTCTATCCCAAGCCACCAATTTGTAAAGACGGATAATAGCAGGCGGTTCTACTGGTAGCTCTGTTCGAAGAGCGCGAAGCAGCATCGTGGTGAAGGTGAAGGCGAATGGACCAACCAGCGTCTAGTGTTGGGCTTGACGAGATCAGACCACATGGGCGCGCTGACAGGATAGCAGCAAGCCCATGATGATGACAGATGCTCCATAGAAACAAACAAGACGTAGGATCGTCAAGTTCATGTGCAGAGCTCATAAGTGATGGAATGCAGGATTGAGACGGTATTGACATTGGTGTGTGTCGGAGTTCAAGGACGAATCTTGATGCAGTGGCAGGACGAATACGAGGCCATAGAACAAATGACGCCGAAAAGACGAGGTTATGAGAGAATCAATACATACCTAAACTCGATATTAGATATCCCTTGTAAAGACACCTAATTCAATACTCTTGGTGAAGACCTGTGACCGTCGGAAGTGGGGCAGCGACACACCGACTCTAGCAAGGACAGAGACAGGAGACAGAAGAACAGGTGCAGGCGGACAGCACGACAGTGAGACGGTAAAGATTGACAAGAAGAGGTGAGGTCAGATATGTACGAGGCCAGCTGGACCTTTAAGAGGCTTAACCCCTCGGAGACCACAAGTCAGCCATGCAGGCGCCCGCTCTAACTACGTTTCAAGACGCCGTTTCACGACCCCTGTTGACACCAACGAGTCGCTTCGGCCTCAGGCCAATCTAGAGCCGCATGCGTTGTCTGTGGAGCATCCTACGGGGTACACGATATTTGTTTACACACCTCAGCATGTAGCATGTGAATATCTGGCCCGGTATTGGCCTTGAGGCCATATGTGCTGGCGGTGACGTAGCCCTATGGTCTTCGCCCAGTCGGTACCATTCCGCGAGAGATCTGCACAAACTGAATCTTACCCAACTTTTTCCCCAGACTTTTGTAACCCACTCCAAAACGCGTAGACAAACTCCAGCAGGCCCAACTAGGAGTGCTAATATCGGACAATACCGGACAACATGTCGTCGCCATACATTCACGAGGCTGTCGCGCACCGCAGCAAACGCGTGCGCTTCTCCAACGAACCCGAATCTTCGCCGCCTTCGATGTCCTCCGACTCGGCCCTTGCGTCGACCAACGCCGCAGAGGACTCTACGACCAACGCAAGCGACTTGGGTACCTCAGACAGCGACAGCGAGCTGTCCGAATCGAGCGAAGAACCCAGCAGCGACGAGACTTCAAGCGACGAAGAAGAGGACGACGACGGCGAGGACACAGAGATGGAGCTTGATGAGCCAAAATCACAAGACGGCATTGTAAATCTACGCGCGAACAGGGGGAAGAAGCCCATCATGAAGCTGGGCGATGAAGACCTTGGACCCGACATTCGTGGTTTCCTCAAAGACTTTTTACCGCAGTTGAAGGCTGCAAATGAAGAGTTGGAGGCGCAGAAGAAGGCTGGAACACTGAAGAGTTTAGACTCTGTCGAGGCGCATGAGGAGGGTGAGCCATACATTGAGATGGTGAGTACTTGTTTCTGCCGTGTCGCGGGGCGCTTCTAACGGTGTCTAGGACCTTGGATTAGGCGTGCTCGAGGAGAAAGACCCGAATGCGAACAGCGACGACGACAGCGCGAGCGATGCCGAAGATGGCGACAAGGAGAAGGATGTGCTGGGTAGATTAATGGGACGTGAGAAGAAAGATCCAGCGGGTATTGAGGTGGTGCAGAACACGACCGGGTCATAAAGAGATGATATTCAAGAGCAGCCCATACTCTGCTGTCGCGCGCTCTACTGTCTTCTCCCACCACCCTACTTAGTGTCCGATACCCCCCTTTGCCCACGTCGCGTCAGCATTCTCGTGGATCTTGGGCACCTCGATATACTCTCTGACTCCCTTCTTCCTCTGGTAATCACTGCCAAATCTCTGATCCCTTTCCTTTACCCGCTTTTCGAAATCCGGCATCTGATCTGCCGCCGTATAACTCGTCATCAACTGGGGTGGGCCCAATGGCAGTTTGTCGCCCCGGTCAGTCTGCCAGAGATGGTAGATTTTGCCGTACAGCTCGACAACCTCTTCCATCTCTTTGTTCTCAGCTACTTCCCACGCGGCCTCTGGGACGCCTGTTGGTCGCGGCATGATTAGCATTCCGGATTTCACTTCGAAGACGTGCGAATGCCAGAGCTTTTGCTCTTCGGCATCGAGTGTCTCGTAAAGCTTGGGGGAGATCATGTATTCTGCAAGCTGGTTTAGAAGTGAGTTGCGCGGTCCGAGAGGTGGATGACTTACCGATACCAATGATTCGTGCGCCTTTTTCAGGGGAGTCGTAGAGGATACATTGGCGGACTTCATCGTTCAGGTGAGCACAGTAGTGGTTTGCTTCGACTGCATCCCGCTTTGGGTCATGGGCATATGCATGGAACGCGTTGAGATGCGCACATATCCTCTTGACTGGAGCGAAATTCTGGTTGAATCAATAGAGTTATTGTCAGAAAGAGCTGATGGACTTACCTGAGTCATGGCAGCACCAGCTTCAAGTGTATTGTTATATGTACTTTCTGGCTCACCAGCTGTCTTGTTATTTACGGGAAGCGAGTCCATCCTGTCTTGTTGTCGTTGTCTTGGTGATGGTGATCTGCACTTGAGACTTCAACTCCTAGTTGGTTGCGGGGTTGAACTTTCGTTGCTGGGAGTATCTTTGATAGAGTAGCCCGCCAAAGTCGCTGATTATAACCGCTTGTCAGAAATAGTTTTCGGCATCTCGAATGACGAAGTTCCCAGGGCGCACATCGGATCATGAACATAGGTTGACGTCATCATGATCTACGATTGGGCAAAACAGCGGACCCTGCAGTTCTCCTTGAATCAAGCGGAACAGTAGCGACAGGTTCAATGAGAGTATTGATGCATTCAGCACTGCTAATAGAGATCTCTGAAAGCACGCGATGTATGGATTTGACTAGTATATAAAAGTTTACGAGCTCCGGTTGGAATGTGGCGAATGAATACACATCTTTCTTGAGATGCAATCTTCTGGCCCTATCGGATATGATAGCGATCGAGAATAGCTAGCAGACTACACTACCATTGAACTTCGTCGCTTGAACCTACATTCAACACCAGTCTGGACGTTGAAAGAAGCATTGTGCGTCTTCCACGGCCGATCATGCGCCATCTCAAAGTCAAAACGGTGTAAAACCTCTGCAGTCACTTTGTAAATTTGCGTCAAAGCAAGCTATGAACCGTCAGTAAATCTTCAGTGTGTGATCACGGACAACTTACAGGCCTACCAACGCATGTTCGCGTCCCGGCGCCCCATATCAGGATTCTCTTATCCATCACCCTCGTGCGGTCTTCGCTCTGTAGCCATCGCTCGGGAACAAATTCATGTGCATCTTCCCCAAATACATTTGGGTCATGCGAAACGATAGCTGGATTCATTCCAACGGTATAGCCTGCAGGAATGTGCTTCCCGCAAAGTGTGATCCCCTGGTTAGGAGCATACCGAGGCATCGAGACTGCGAAGGCAGAGAACAATCGTAATGCTTCTTTGACTGTGGCTACTAGATAGGGAAGGGAAGAGAGTTGACCATATTGAACTGGGGATGATAGTGTGCCATTCTCGAAGGCTGCATCGACTTCCGCACGCGCTTTTTCGAGCTTCTCTGGGTGCTTCATTAGGAAGTAGAAAACGGAGCGCATAGAGATGGATGTACTGTCCGCTCCGGCCATACTAGTAGGGCTTAGTGTGAAGTCTGGGGGTCTGGATGTCATTATACTTACATTGCAACCCACATATCTGACGTAATTTCTCTGTGTGAGTAGTTCACCTTTTCTCCCTTTTCCTGCACAATTGCTAGCAACTGAGACAGTAGATCAGGTCTCTTTTCAGTCACTTCCAGTGTTCTCTCGGTGGCTATCTTCGTCTCTATGATTGCAGTCTTCTTGATATCCTCTACAGCCAGCACAGCTTTAAGTAAGCGCGGAATACAAACAGCGATTAGAAGCAGGAATGGCCGCATGTAGTACGGAGTCACTGTCAAGAGAGTAAGGAAAGGCATCGCAAGATGAACCGAGTGGATGTAGTCTTTGTAGTCGATGCTGTCCCGTAGGAATCCAAAGGCTTGACCAAAGAACGCGACGCCAACACTATCAAATGAGTACCTGGTTCACGTGTCAGCCAGGACAATCTACTAGTGATCACATGTAGCCCACATTTCGAGCCAAAATCCAAAATCGAATGCTTCTTTGCTATCAGCGAAGCTATCCATTCGTTCTAGAAAGAGTTCCAATGTCTCGTCGAGCCGGGATTCATTCTTTAGTATACTGGAAAGTGAATATACGCCTCCAACGATCCTCCGATACGCTGCGTGAGCCTTCTCGTTGGTCTGCGTGAATAGATCTGGTTGGCTGTTTAGTCCTTGTGGCCGCCATGGTTTATACCAGTCCGTTTTCTCGAGTGGTTTTTGAACTGGGTAGATATACGGAATGGCCGTGGTATCGGTTGTGACGATCTCATCGGGTGCGATCCGAATAATCGGGCCATATTTCCTGTGAAGAACGCGCTCGACGATCTCAATGTCGCCTTTGTGATGGTGCCACATAAGCCATGTTCGCGAGACTGAAGGCCAAAATGGCCCTGGAACCTTAGCTAGTGGATGGAGGGTTCGAGCGTAGACGATCCAGATGAGATAGTATGCTGCGAAGGATATAGCGATGTAGGACAAGAAGACAGAACTCGTTTTTGAACCGAAAAAGACATCAGATAGGAGCGCCATGTCGTAGACGCCGACGTTGAAGAGCAGAGCGACTCGAAAACTATGGTTAGTAGAGGGAGAGAGCGCACTATGTCCCGTCGTTTATCAGTAGCAGCAGCGCTCTGCAGTGAACCTGACAGGGTTGTTTGCTGTGACAACGAGTCATGATCTGAACATGCCATACTAGTATACTCAAAAGAGCAACGAACCCGATGTGTGTACCTAGGTATACTGCAAGTACTGGGGCGTAACGCGGACCCTCTGATTCTAGCCATAGTTTGCGCTCCACACGTCAGTCAGAGATAACCTAACTGAATTCTAAGCTTCACCAGCTGGACGCGGTATGGGGGCTAAGACTGCCATGAATGAGGGGAGGGATCGTGAACCCTGACAGAAAGAAACCCTTTTCGGTATATCCGAGAGCGGTAGCATCCTTCCGGCTCCCCAGCAAATAGACGTAAGGAAAAGTGCTGCTGGGTCTGCCTCGTGTCATACAGTCAATAGCCTAATGGACTTTGAACGAAAGTTACTTCAGAAGATGAGATCCCACACTTTTCGTAGCTGGTGGCTTTCCTCATCTCGTTCTCGAATGTCGATGCAGCTTACTCATGTTACTGTTAACGGTCTCTTCCCGCGCTCAGAAAGCCACGAAGCGAGACGGCGCTAGCCATGAACGACCGCTGTCACTCATCCTTGCCTTGATTACGCGACGAGTCTTTGGCCCGCGGGCTAAATGTAGGGCATACGCACGTCTAGGCTGCTGGTAAGCCGATACCTAGGTGAAATTTTCAACCGCATTGACGGACGCATATCCTAAGAGGCCGCTTCATATTCTTCGCTAGGCACCTGTAATCCTATGGTAATAATGACACCCCCATGGAAACATACAGCTATGTGACTTGAAAGTTGATCGGACTACTCACTACGGAGTACGTTACCTAGTTCATGTTGCCAAAAATAACTTCGCATGGATCGTCCCGTGTACAATTATTTGACTGGGAAGTGGGCATGGAGCCGCCCGAGACAGCACTTCTGCCATACAGCGCTAAGCTCGCTTCGAATTCTAAATAGGGCAAATCAGAAACATGGGGGTTTTGAATACTATGAGGAGGCTGGAGGATACAGACGAGTGCGCCGATGCTGTGGAGGACCTGTGGCTGACATCTTACCATGACTGACTGACTTCGTACTATCTTTGATCATCACTCTCCAAGTATCAACTTCCCCGATACTTACATACAGCCGACCACGGGCAATGAGTCGCAGAGAAGTGGTAGGTGATAGTGATCTGTATACACTGACCAAAGTATCACTACAAGATCAATACTTTCATCTCTCACTCATGACCAAGAACAAAAAAAACATACAACAGCGGGGATTCGCTAGTGGTCACCCACCTAACTACTAGTCCGCCGGTCAAAGGCTTGACGTGTGGAGAGCAAACGGGATCCAGTATACTCCTTTACCTGTGGTCGTATGTGAAGGTAGTCGAGAGGTAAAGGTTATATGACGGTAGTGGTGTTTCAGCTCCAACTGTTAAATTCACGATAGCTCACAAGACCTTTCTGAAAACCATGCCATACCAAACTTTCGTACCAACCCACTTCCACCCTCTCTCGCCCACAGCACCACTCTCAACATCTTCCTTTCTCATCTCTCGCTCATTCACACTTATCACCTCAAGTCCCGCAGCTCTGGCTGCCTCTGCAGTCTCTCCAACTGTGTAGACGTAGCTACTTCCTCTAACCTTCACACCATGTGCATTAACGAAGCCGGCTTGGCTGATACGGCCCATGTCTGCATGCATGTTGGTTACCAGCGCTGTACCACCTGGTAAGAGCAACGTGCACAACGTGGCGAAGTAGTCCTCTAGCGGAATGTGCTCTAATACTAGAGTAGAGATGACTGCATGACTTGGCTCCAGGTTTTGAACAGCAGGCAATGGGGATGTCGATGGATCGTTGACTGTTGGAAAGCAGTCACCGCACT